TTGAGCTGGAGTATGCCTGAAACAATTCAAGAGTGATCTCTTGAATGATCAATATTAAAGCTTTTAGATATATCAAAATGAAATTTGGTATGGAAAATTTCCTACAATAGAGGGTTAGGACCAACCATGAAAATTTAATCGATTAAAGTGTTTCATAAAGAAATGAAAATAGAAGAACCTATTCATAAAAGGATGTAAGAATGCTTGGCATAAACCTATGTATGATTCTTTGATGTTCTTTAAAGGAATAGTAATTGAACTCTCGACAATGACTTACTAAAATAATGGGAAAAAATCTAACTCCAATCATGTGGACTCGAATAAGAACGTTTATAATTAAGTTGTCTGAGGCTTTTGCACTGTCTTATAATCCAATATCAAAGTTTTGGCTTATTGAAAGGAGAAAGAAGGGTGGCTTTGATTAAAGTGTGATTGGTGGTAAAAAAAGAAATTAGTCTTCCTTAGCTAAAATTGTATCTTCTCTCACTTATGTTTTGCCTCCACCCCCCTTCAAAAAAATAAATTATAAAAAATCTATTTTTGAAATAAAGTGCTGATTTGGAGGAACTAACTTGTAAGAATAATATTATTGGGTTTTACCTCTCTTAATGATGCCCCACTCTTCCTCATGCGTCACTTGCTATTATGAAGTTAGTTTTACTACTGTTTGTCTCTTCATGCCACCAAAAGATGTTTGCTTTTTCGACCTGGATGTCACTGAATGTGCTTTTTATTGCAGTGTTATATATTCCAGTAATGGTCCCACTAGCTTGGGGCTTGCTGGCTACATTTTGCCTGTTCTTTCTTTCTCCCTAATAGTGTACATGTTCTCAGATTCTGTTGCGACTGGTCAGCACACTAGACCGTTGTGCATCGCGCACATGCTCATTGCCTGTTGAGACTGTAGAGCTTATGCCTTCACACTGCAGTAGATTTTCGTTGACTTGTTTACAGAAGTTATTTTCTTTGAGCAGGTGCCGTACCCGAGTGCTCATACAATTCTTCTGATTCGATCTTTTAATTTCTTTGTATATTAAGTATCTTTTGCTTGATGGCAGTTGGTGATCAACTTCTATCAAGGCCTTTTTGAAGCATTCTCTCTTTTATTTTTCACATAATCTGTTCTGGTTGTTTCCCTGTTCTCCTTATAATGCTTATCAACGAATGTTTTTTATCAGCCTTTTCAGTTATTCATTTACATAGCTGTTATTTTGATTATTTTCCAACGTTGCATCCTGTTTCTAGTTGTTCTAATGAAGCCGATTGGAACTTGACAAGATCTGAAGTCAGCAAAATCTCAATTACTATGCTCATGAACAGATGTGAATACATCTTGAGCAGGTTTCAGACAGATGAGAATGAGTTGGGTGAGCTTGGCTTTTTTGATGAACAATATGTTAATCAGTGTAGATAATCCTTACTTCAGATCTCCATTTTCCCATGCGTAATGTGTGATTTCCCTGCAGGTGAGCATCCATTACCAAAAGCCAGGCTCGAAGAAATTATTTATGTTCTCCAAGAACTGGCACGTCTCGTAATACATCATGATACAGCTTCCTCGCTTCATTTGCACCCATATCTGAGAAGTGGATTAGCAGAGGAGAAGGAGAAGCCTCCCGGGCGTCCCCACCTGTTTGTGCTCCTTCCTTCCTTTAGTGAGCTTGTTTTATCGAGGTAAAGTAAATATATTTATTGGAGTATCCTGATGCTTAATCTTTGACACGAGCACACAAATATGAATTTAAGCAGTTGATGTGTAAATTAGTCGTCTTGTGGATAGATAAAATATGAAGAATCAGGAAAAGAGAGTACAAGGCGGTAGGATGAGATAATCTTCCAAGGACTGAGGTTCAAAAAAATTTTATGTGCAGCACATGAAGTGCTTAAATTACACAGCCTTCTTTTCATTTTGAACAATAGTACTTCAATTTTTTTAAAGCTAAAATATGAGCAACATACCCCTAAAATATATTGATTTCTGTGAAAAAAATATAACATGAAAGGACATGTTTTGGATTCAGCGATATTTATTTCATATTCAAAACCATAAATTTAATCTATTCAAAATTTATAAACTTGACTTTTTTATATTAATCTAATACGTATTTAATACTTCTATATATAAATAATGGACAACGTTAGTTTGGTCTAAATGGGTATAATTGTAGCCCATCTTTTACAACTTACAAGGGAGATTAAGGTAGTCCATATTTTTTGTTTCAAGAGAAGGCGGTACGGCTTTCAAAATAGAGAGGAGAGTGTTAATTCGGACATCTGTTAAAGGAAAGCAGTGTGATTCCCTCAAGTATAAAATAAGTAAAAAGTAAAGCAAGAAAAAGAAAGAGCAGCACCTTTTGATTTAGTGATGAAGAAATCTCTTAAAAGAATGTCACAAACTTCAAGTGATAAGGTGGCTAAGAACGAAAGTCTGTCCTGAAGTTGATACATTTGCTGAAACTACGTCTAAATGCTAGCTTTAGAAGATCTCGTGAGGCAGGAGGGAAAACAAACCAAAAACTGTGATGAGTCTGTAACGTGGGTTTTCAAGCAACTTCACAAAGCAATAACAAGGGGCTGCTAGATTATGAACTCCAGTAAGATATCGCACAGTTGTTAATAGGTAAAGCTTCATGCGGATCACATGCCTTTCACAGATCACACTGTAATGCTTCTTTTTAGACTTTAACCTTGAAAGAGGCCTTCACCTTCCAAAAGTATTGAAGATAAATATAACTGGCCATCATTTTTCTTCCTTTCTTTATTCTTTCTTTGTCTTCTGTTTTTCCCCTCATTTTGTTTTTAAGATCTGTTCTTTTGATGGACAGAGAACTAAGAATACGGGAACTAGTGGTAGCATTACTTCGATTAGTCAGCAAGGAGTTGTCGCTGGAAAAGCTCAGCTTAACGAATGGAAAGAATGCTTCCAGATAAGACCTTCTTATGTCATTTAATCAAAGTTTTTAGCTGATAAGCTTTTATCGTCTTATCGCCTCGCCTTTTCATTGGTACTATGTTGTATATTTTCATGTAGACTAGACTAGGCCCACCCTGATAGGAGGTTTGCTGTCTCCCCTCACCCAGTTCATCTGTCCTGCATTATGGCCCAGTGTCAGGTGTCAACCATACTTCCTCATATTCATCAGCCACTTGAACCTAATCACCACGTCCTTGGGGTCAGGCTTGGAGACCCACGAGCATGGGACGATTAGGTGAGCGGTTGAGATAAATATATGTAGTGTATACAGCAAAAAGAACCACTTACGGGACAGTGGACAAGGAGACCTCGTAATGGAATGTCATAGTGAGAAGATCTACATTCCCCTTGCCATTTTTTTGTATTCTATCGCATTCTCTGAGTATATATCTGACATTGAACCCTAATATTTTCTTGCCATGTTAGATGGTCAGAATTTTTTTCCTCCGGTAAGAAAGATATGTTCATGTTATGCTGATTTTATGTTTGTATTAAGGCATTCGTTCTTTTAGAGTGGCATTCTTGAATTTGAACACTTGTTCCCTTCGTCAGAAATGTTTCCATTTCCATGCCGAGGGTTTTCTGTCTTCACTTCTGTTTGTCCTCAGTTGCCATAATAATATTGACAAGTTATTTCATGCCTTATTCTGTGTAACTTCTGGACGTGAGTTTTGAAGCATTTTGGTTTTCCTGAGTCGCAACTCCTGGTCAATCTGGGTCTTTTCCCTAGTCCCATCTGGATATAGTATGTCTTTTATAGATAAACAGTCAGTAGCTATAAAGCACGAAGGAAAATTTGTACCCCATATCAAAGGAGTAGAGCTTAGGCGTCAGACAAGGACGAGGATGCTGCTTGTTTGTCATGTTAAATTTGGCGCACCGCACGTGACTGGATTAAAAATAGGCTGATGATTCTGTTGAATGGGTTGTACCTGTTCGATGTATTGCCACGCGAGATCCTTCTTCTGACATGGGCTTCTTTGTAATGGGTTGACATTGGTTTTATAGTGTTTATTCATCGGCATGATTATCCATTTACTGTTTCACTTTCAGACAACGAGGGTCAAAACTTCAGTAAAAATCACCCTTCTGCAAACGATTGAAGAACAGTTGAGCATGTGTTTCCTTCTTTGTTCTCTAATATTTCTCGATCTCTGATGTTTATATTTATATTTAGATTTTATGCATATACTACAATAAGCGTGTCCAAGATGCTTATGCTGTATAACTTACATCAATTATTCACTCTGCTTGAAAATATTGTAATCCAATATGCTAAAGTAAAAGAATTTACTTCTCGTAAAATTTGTTATTTGCTTTCATTTTTTGAATTTTGTGGTAAAAAAGTTTGCTATCTTATAAAATTGAGTGCATCATCTGTAACGCGTTTCAAGCAACGCTAGTGCGCGGACATGGCCAAGGGAGCGGGCCGTTTGGCATCAATTGACCGCTTAACATCACTTGGATTTTTGTCTTATTTCTACCTTGTGCGACTCTCTCCCAATCTAGATCATAGTGTTGAATTTGAACTAGTATTTATTTTATTCAGGCAAAAAAATTGAATTTTCTATTGAAAAATCACTCATTCAAATTCGAATTCCCAACTAATCGAAGTCAAGTATTGTGACCAATGAACTAAGTAAAAGTTTATTGGATGTTTGGCTATGTACTTTTCTAATCCTATTTATAAGTAACTTTCAAAATATTTTACATGGATAAAAAGAATTTTAAATTTTATCAACTTTTATTTAAAATTTAATAATTTTTTAATTTTGTCTCTACTTAATATATAGTATAGCTCATGAGAACATAATAATAAATGAATAGTAAAATTATATATTTATGTCAAAAGTTTTTCTTTTCTTTCTGTTGTATAAATAAAACTACACGGGACTCGTAAGCGAAACCGGAAACTCCGGAGACTAATATCATTGGAATTAAAATATTTAGTGTCAGTGTCCGGGGAGGCGAAAGTAGAATCGACTCCCAGAATTGCCAAGGAAACTATTCAAGAGTTGCGTTGCCAGAAGATTTGTCATCTACTCTATAGCGATTACAGGGATGATATAAAGTAACTCGGACTCAAGGATTGAGTTTGTAATACAAAATTTTATTCAAATTCACTTGTCAAGATTCTCAGGAACACGCTTGGGTGCCCGATTATGATAGCACAAGAAAAGTTTTGTTGCCCGTATCAGCAGAAAGGTAAGCAAATTTATATCTACGGACAATCATTCAAGAAATGGCATATTTAATTATTATGTTGATTAAGCCTGGCGGCGGCGGCCACCGACGCTGCCACTCCGGCGGGATGAGTTGTGAGGTTTGGATCATTTCTCATCTCTGCTCCGGTCACCCCTTCTGCGTCTCTCCTCGTCGCCGCTTTGTCTGACGGCAGCTTCAAAGTTGCATCCTGTACCAAGACAACGTAATTACTTAATATCCTTGATATAAGATTCTGTTTGACTTTTATTTTGGTCCTAAATATAAGACTCCAATCCATTTTATTTCTCATATTTACTTAATTTTTTTCAAGATAGTCATTCTAATAATTATAATTTTAGCCAATACATTTAATTAGTAAGAATATTTTTAAGAAAGACAATACCTATTTAAGACACATAATTAACTCAACTTACTTCCTTAATCTCTTCAAATTTATTAATTGGCTCTTATAATTAAGATTGGAGGTAGTATTTAAAACCAAAAAGAAAAGCCTGAATATATATATCTGTTGGTGTTACCGCAAGAACGTCGGCGAGTTTGGTCTTGTCCTCGTCCCTTGTCGCTCGAGCATTGAAAGTGGCAGCAGACTGTGCAGCGGCAGCAACACCGCCAGGGACAATGCTGGTACGGCCGGTGGCTCTGACTTCGGCTGCTTGAATGGCAGCGGCGTCGCTCCATTCCACTGGCTTATTTCCGGCGGTAATAGCTGTGGCTTCTAGAGCTTCCCCTATGGTGATTCCACCATTCCCTGCCTCTTGGCTAAGTGAAGGCGGCGACAAGCTCTCCGTTGCTGGATTTCTTTGACTGAATTGCTCCACCACCTGCTCACAGTTTGCCACTACTTGAAATTAATTAAACCTCAATAAAACTTATGTTAGTTTATGATGGTGATTTTATTATGTCCTTGGGCTTCATCACCTTGAAATTAATCAAGTTAAATAACAATAACTCACTAAAAAAACAAATTCGAATGTCCAGCGACCGAATAAAATGAATTAATCCTTATTATATCTGCTGGTTATAACGTCACTATGGACCTTATGCCTCCTCAAAAAATTGATCAATTTTCATCTCTTGTTATCTACTTGTTGTTGAACAACCTACGAAATTGATTCATTCAAGCACGTATTCTCATGTGAGCAATCAAACTAGATAAGCCAGATAAAAAAGGAAGAATACCTGTCCGCCGATTAACTGAGATACGACGCGTCTCCCGGAGAATTCAGTTTGCGTGATGCTAATGCCGTGGTCTTCGATGGCACCAGTAACATCGCTATGTGACACAATCCCTGCCTCTTGGTTTTTCTTGGCCGCCGAATGCATCGCCTCCGCCGCTCCGTCCTTCTGAACACCTCCCAGTATGGCATTCTCCGCGGCCTGCATCATGGCTGCGTCCACCGGAGCCACCACGTTGTGGGCCAGCTCCCCTTCCACGACGAATAAATCGCCATACTTGACGGGTTCTCGGTCTTCCTTACGGGGTTGCTCTTGGCTCATCTTTCCTTCTTTCTTTTTCAGTCTGCGATGCAATCCATCGCCAGTAAGTTAATATACGTGCATGGCAAATGTTTAGGGTGCGGGCGGGACACGTGTGAGTCAGTGCATCAAAATAACGGGAGGAGGAGGACGTGAGAAACATTTGGCGTGCGAATGAAGTTGTGTTTAATATAAACCAGTGGTTTGTTTTTGCTATTTACGATGATCATTGTGACAGGTCCTCCGTGACAAGGTCTATTTTTCTATAATTAATCTGGATATGGCGCATGTGAATGAGAAAAGAGAGTAGAAATAGAAGCTCATTCTTGTGGGAGGTTCACATGCTTAACAGGATCCTTCTCTAATTCTTCATCATGACTATGATGAAGCACTTTCGAGGATTGATCAAATTAATTAGTGTTTTTTTCCCTTCATTTCTATCTCTTAATTATTCACATATAGAATACCTTTTTAATAGTAATTAGCAAATGATCTCTCCATATATAATAACCTCGAACAAGAACTCTCATCGTACGTTATTTGATGTGGTAGGATATATGATGGGTACGTAGCTATATAATTAGATTAAAAGAGAACAATATGATTTATAATATATTGTTTTTTTCTAATCATGGAAGATAATCACCCGTCAATTCATAGCGACTGAATATTGAGGGTAACCAGATGTATGTAGCAGTAAGAAAAAGATAGGAACTCAGCCATAGGTTCTCGAATAAATTGTTAAAAAGATGTAAATGAAATATTTTTGTCTTTTGTTGTCACTTCAAACGGTAAATAGGGAATGTAATTTTAAAAAGAAGGACTCTGCCGGGGAAAGAAAAGGGGAAAGGAAAACCCGCAAAGAGCAAGAAGGAGAAATAGGGATAATTTATGAGACTTCCGCGAAGCAACGTTCATTTGACACGTAGATTGCCACGTCGATATTCACTTGGCGCCTTATTTGCGCGTAAAAATGCTAGCGTGTACAAGTGTGCATGTCATCATCGTAATTTCAGGCAGACGCAGGGCCCATTTTGTGACCGGCCATCCCTCGGTCTGGTGGGCGTCTCATTTTCTGTTTTCCCTCCCAGCTCCTTCCACTCCAATAACGAGTCTTGGTCCTCCCAGCAGCTCGCAGAGCACATGAATTGAATTGATGAATTCAAGATGCAGCGGAAGAAGGTGAGAACTGAAATGAAGAATATTTTCAAGAAGCTTCACATTGGGAGCAATCACGATCCTAATCGACCCCATGAAACTCCTCCCTCTTCCTCCTCCTCCTCCGCAGTGACCTCACAATCTGGCGCCTCCGATCCCCGTACAACTCCTGTTCAGAATTCCGGTACCCCTCTGCCTAGCCCTTCTTCTTCTTCACCATCGCCTTCCCCTGCTCCTCCACCAGCTGGCGGCGCTTCCTCTCCCCAACCTGCCAAGTCCAATTTTGACTATTTCTCGTCGGAGGAGGAGTTCCAGGTTCAGTTAGCTCTAGCCATCAGTGCTTCCAATTCGGAGTTCCGGAATGATCCTGAGAAGGATCAGACCCGAGCGGCAACGGTACTGAGCTTAGGAGGTCATCGAACGCATTGCACAACGAATAAGGATCACGAAGCGGAGGCACTCTCTAGGCAGTACTGGGTGAGTTCAGTTAAATGTTGAAGTTCTCCTTTTGGAGTGATCATGTGCTCTTTCACTTATTTTGTATTGGTTGGGCTTTAACTAAATCTGCGTTGTCACTGATGAACTTGGAATCCTTGTCAATTTTTTTACTCCAATTTTAGTTTTTTCCCTTTCCATCTCCTGTCGACTTCTTAGATGATTCTGGCATAACTCGTCTTTCATTTTGCTTTTTGAATGATCAGGAATACAATGTTCTTGACTACGAGGAGAGAGTAGCAGATGGTTTTTATGATGTATACAGCCTCTGTAACGATGCTGCAATGCAGGAGAAAATGCCATCTCTGGCTGAACTTGAAGGAAACCCTGGAAGTTCTAACTTTGAAATTGTCATGGTTAATAGAAAGATTGATCATGTATTGGAAGAGCTGTTGCAAATTGCCCATTGCATTGCATTAGACTGCCCAGTCACCAAGGTTGGTGTTTTGGTACAAAGGCTTGCTGAACTTGTTACAGGGCATATGGGTGGTCCTGTAAAGGATGCTAATATTGCATTGACGAAATGGATGGAAAGAAGTACGGATCTAAGAACATCCCTTCACACTAGTGTGTTGCCTCTTGGGTTCATAAATATGGGGCTATCCAGGCATCGGGCTTTGCTTTTCAAGGTCAGCTTTAATTGTTGGTGTTTGGTACCTTGTTGGCCATAATTTGATGTTAACACTGTAATCTTGCCCTCACCGGAGCAGATAGTCAAAATGCTAGGTAACAAACTGCATATAATTGAAATTCAGTGAATGGGACATGAATTATCTGATAATATTTTTCCTTAGAACACCAGCATTGGTGCAGAAATTTTTTCGTGCTAATTTGGGGAAGTCTTAAATTGGATTAAATTTAGCTCGAATCATCTTTTTTTTTTTTTTCAACTCAACTCGGCTCATTAGTGTTTCTACTAACACACAGGCTTTTATTTCCGAAGTATCAAAAAAGAAAACACAGGCTTTAGGTTTTGAATGATTTAAGAATCTTAAGATTCTTGGTTGTCAATATCATCACAGAATTGTCTGGTTTTGCGCATGGATAATAAGTCATGTAACTGATTTTAGCATTTCCCAAATCCTACATTTCATTAGGTTCTGTTCAGATTTTATCGTTACATATTTGTTTTGCTTATCAAGTTGTTGGGTGTTTCAGATAATTTTTGTTTCTCTGGATTTAGGTATTAGCTGACAATATCAAGATGCCTTGTAGACTGGTAAAAGGCAGTCATTACACTGGTGTTGAGGATGATGCTGTGAACATAATAAAGTTGGATGATGAAAGGTTACAGATTTTTTGTTATCCTTTAATTTTTCATTTATTTTTTGTCAACTGATAGTTATTGATTTGTTTGACCTTGCTCATAAGCACATGCATGTTTTATGCAGTTGAAAATATGCATTGTTATTCATGGTCTGCTTTCCTTGAGCTGTTTTTCAAGTATTAGTATTTCTTAATGATGCAAACATTCAAAATCTCATTACCTGTGCGCCTAAAATTTTTGGCAGCTGTTCAGGTACTTTCTGGTACTGATGTCTGTTATTTTCAGGGAATTTTTGGTTGATCTCATGGCTGCTCCTGGAACACTTATCCCTGCTGACTTAAGTGCAAAGGATACTGCCTCTAAGCCATGCAACCCCAAGATCTTGCCAAGATTACAATCCAGTAAAGAAAGTGGATCTTCTTGCTCAAGGAAAACATCATCCGATGGTGAAGGAAGTAGTCAAATTTCTGTGAAAAGAGATGATTCATCACCATTGACTGGAAAATTATCTTTTGAGAAGTCAGACATGTCTTCAAAAATGAGCTCAAGCAAAGATGCTGGTGCTATTGCTTCCAAAATGCTAGACAGAGCAACTTCCAGCCAACCAGAAAAATTGCCCCCCTCTGCTGGCACTTTGCTATATAGTTACAAGGGGACTCTTGGAATGAATGCAATTGGTGATGGGACAAGACTGAATGCCAATATTGTACCCTATGGTCAGGACAGCCTAGACAACTCAAGGAGCCTTTTTGCGGATCTTAACCCATTCCAGATAAAAGGAACTGGCAAGACCTCTGTACACAACAAGCCTATGGAAAATAAGTCTCCTGAGCTTCAAATTACAAGAGACAATTCTGTCTCTGGCCAACCCTCTGTACCATTGATGTGGAAGAATCGTTATGCTTACAATGACATTCCCAAAAAAATTAACCGTGATCCTAGTGAATATAATTCCCAGTCATCACATAATTCTAATTCTGTTATAAATAAAGATAGAAACACCCTCAATTTGATGGAAGTCACTGGTTCATCGTTGGCACCTGGTGCAGGTGAGCTGAACAGGGCTGAGGGTCTCAAAGAGGACTGTAACAGAAGGAATGGGGAAAGCTTCGAAAATGAAATGATAGATGTGGCTAAAGAACATGAGAACAATGAAATTAAGTTTCATGACCGGAGAAAGTGCACATATGACAGATTCACGGGGAGCAATTTGAAATTAAAGGCCTCAGAGCGTCCTAGCTCATCAATTGAATCCATTGCTATTGGGGCTGATCAAATATTGGATGACGCAGATGTTGGTGAATGTGAAATTCCATGGGAGGATTTGATTATTGGTGAAAGAATAGGTCTAGGTAATGCGCTTAGCTTGTCTTTAATTTCTTGCTTGAATTTCATTATTTGCTGGAGTGTTGATATGGTATTGGTTCAATGTTCAGTTAAAAGAGTTCAGCACTGTAGCAAATGGACCAAGTGATAACCAATATTTGCATGAAATTTCCTGACTTTTAAATTGATCATGAGTCATCCCTTTGAAAGCGCCATGTTAATTCTATTCTATTTATGCAAGCATGATTTTGAAGCGGTGGTAAGAACTTTTAACCTCTTGAGTTCACCTGTTTTGACACGTGGGATACTCTTAAAGGATTCAAAAATGCGCCTCAAGAACTTGTTACTATTAAGGCTTGTGTGTGATTCAGATTAGTTTGTCTATGTATTGGTTTTCCCTGAGTAAATGTTCTAAGTTTCTACTTTGTTGCTATTAGGTTCATATGGTGAGGTATTCCGTGCTGACTGGAATGGCACTGTGAGTATCATGATTCATTTATGTGCTTGACTAGAAAGGTTATGCATGTTGAAAGGAAGAAGTTTTTCTTGGTCATTTCCTGAGTATTAGCAATTTTTTTGCCCTACAGATCTATCCTAGTGGTGTAATGTCAACCAGCTCTTGTTAAATATTATATTTGGTTGTTATTCTACTTTCGTTTTCCTTTTCTTAATCAAGATTCTACAAAAATTTCTTTATTCAATATGTCCTGCAAAACTGCAGAATAGTTGTTGAAGAATGTGACAATTGCTGCACTACAGTGTCATGGATGAAGCAGAACACAGAATGATAGGCACCATAATTCTTACTCATTTAATCGGGAGGGTACTGAGTATTTATAGAGCATCACAGGCTTCTAGCTGACACAATAACTTACCAATGCTAGTCTCAACAGTATTGACTTCTTAACTGATTCTAACTACCAGCATCTAGAATCTTCTGTCTTTTATGAAATGATGTATTGAAAATTCCATTTAAGTCCACTGGAAAGGAAACAGAGGAAAGAAATAATGATTCTGGAGAAGTTGATGTATCTTTGCTTGGCTGATAGGTTATTGTAGTTTGCTTAGTTCTAGCACTTACTCGCCCTTTTACAAAAAAGAACTTACTCAAGAGTTAATGTGCTCAGATACCCCTTTTTTTTTTGGCTGGTGATTTATGAAATATCAGGATGTTGCAGTGAAGAAGTTTCTGGATCAGGACTTTTCAGGCGCTGCATTGGCCGAATTCAAGAGAGAAGTAAGCATTAAGTTAACATACACTTGTTTGCTTAAAAGAATTGGAATTGGGGAAAGTAAATGGCCATTAAGAATACCATTTCATTACCGTAGATGATTAGCTACTTGGAAGGCAGGAGTAATGAATTAATTCTCCTGTAGTGAAGTATATTTGTGAAAAATAAGTTCATAGTTATTGTGCTGGTGTTGCTTTTATAGAGGATGGCATCCATGGGAAAATAGCAGCACATCTGTCATGATACTTCTAATGGTGATGATGTTTATTCATCTTGCCCTTTGCATTTGTTAATTTTTCCCCCAATAGAACCAAAATATTAGAAGCACTATAGTCATAAATCACTTTGGAGGTTAAAGTATTGCCAGAAAGTATTTTTCTTTCTGATGTTGGTTAAACTACCAACTATGATATATTGGGCTAAATTTTGTCTTCAACAGAAAAATTCGACACAAATGACAGATCAAGTCATCTTTTCTTAAAAGGAAGGTTCACCAGATTAACATGAAAGGCAGTGATTTCATGGGCAAGGATCACCTATGATTGTTTTCTCAAGGGATTACTAATTGATGTCCGCTTTTTGGCTAGGTACGGATCATGCGTCGATTACGTCATCCGAATATTGTTCTTTTTATGGGTGCTGTTACTCGTCCTCCTAATCTCTCAATCATTTCAGAGTTTCTTCCGAGGTAGATTTCTTCACTTTGATTGTTAACTTGTTATCATTTTTCATTAGCCTAAGTTCTTTTGGTTTATCATATAAACTTTGGCGTAGTAATATGATATTCATTATCTGTACGGGTCTCCGCAAGCTAAGCACTCTTTGCATGATGAGCAATTAGCTGCACGATTTTATTTATTATTTTATTTATTTATTTATCATATTTCTTCTGCCGCAATGGTGTTGTTGATTGAATATTTCACAGAGAAAGCTTGTACAAAATTCTTCATCGTCCTAATTGTCAGATTGATGAGAAACGTAGGATAAAGATGGCTTTGGATGTGGTATGGATTATGAAACAAGTCAATCATCATCCTTTTTTGAATAAAATCATTTTCGTCTATGAGATTTCAGTCTTATCACCTTCTGATTTGCAGGCAAGAGGCATGAACTGCTTACACACCAGCACACCTACTATTGTTCACAGAGATCTGAAGTCACCGAATCTTTTGGTTGACAATAACTGGAATATCAAGGTACACAATCGAAGATTCATGTATAATCTCATGCCTTGTTTGCTGTAGATTTCATGTTTTTCTTAGTTTAGTGGAGTTGGTTGATAACCTGGAAAGTGGTAAGTATATTCTCAACTTCTGGTTTTAGCGCAAAACATTATACTTTTGAGGAGAATCAAATATGACGTGGTTTGGCTTGAGTCTTTTGCCTCTGGAAGCTAACAGTCGTTTCAATGGTCTGAATAAGCAGACCTTCTATTCTGTTTTTCAATGTTAAATTGGTTAAACTTTGATGATCTCGATCTAATAAATAAATTATCACAGTTATCTGGGCATCTGTAGTAATGTGGGAAATGTGGTTTATGGCTGCCAGTGCGCTGTTTAGCTTTGCTAAATATGATACGGAAAATGAGCAAACGATGGCTTTTTGCCTTGGCGGTTTATTATCTAAAAATATTTTCAGAACTATAGTGCACCGTGACAAACTGTATTGGCTGTATATTTTGTATGAAGTTCTCTAGTCAAAAGCTAAGCATCTCATATATTTTGCTGGAGAATGAGGGGAAAGGTAAGAATCACATGGTGAATAGCAGGCCTGTGATGAAGACTCTGATATACCGTTTTCCTTCTCAGGTTTGTGATTTTGGGTTATCACGCTTGAAGCACAACACATTTTTGTCATCCAAGTCAACTGCTGGAACGGTGAGAATTTAAGAAAACTATGCGATTATTTGGTTGATCCTATATTTAAGAACATGCTTCCTGTGCATTAGTCAATCTTTTCTGTGTCCGATACTGAATGAAATTTCCTATACATGTTAGCCTGAATGGATGGCTCCTGAAGTTCTCCGCAACGAGCCCTCAAATGAGAAGTGAGTCAAGTACAAACAAGATCCATCTTTTATTCACTATATTTGAATTTATCCATTTGACATTTATGTTAATATAAATTCAATATATTTTGTTTGCAACGGCAGCCAAGTCTAGTGACAATATTTTTAATAACATCTATCACGTTATATGGGCAGGTGTGACGTTTATAGCTTTGGAATCATCCTGTGGGAGCTTGCCACTTTAAGGTTGCCATGGAGCGGAATGAACCCTATGCAGGTTGTTGGTGCAGTTGGTTTCCAAAATCGTCGCCTGGAAATCCCCAAAGAAATTGATCCTGTTGTTGCAAGAATAATTTGGGAATGTTGGCAACAGTAAGCCTCATTAACTTATTAACTAAGACTAAATGTGGACCTCAATGCTTTATATGGAGTTTCAGACGAGTCGCATCATTCATAACTTTTTATTGATATGTGTGTGAGAGAGAGATATTATTTCTTTTTTTTGGTATTTTCTTTCACTGGGATTTTCAAGCGATGTGGTGACCTTTCTCTCTCCATTTCTTTCAATCTTCATTCCACCTTTTTATGCAGGGATCCAAATTTGCGCCCCTCATTTGCGCAGCTCACTGTGATTTTGAAGTCCTTGCAGCGTTTAGTTATTCCATCTTATCAAGATCAGATGGCTTCACCTCTGCCACAGGAGATTTCTGTAAATTCCACCCCTTAGCAATGCCACTGTTCTTGCGTGTGAATAAGGAGACTTTCTGCATCACTTGTGTGAGGATAGAAGTAGGACAAAAACGAAGGAAGAATTACGTCGCTCATCGAAGATGGCTGTGAAGATATTTGAGCTGAAAAACATATCATTTGTTGTGGCCACTGCAGCAGGCAGCAGAGCCATCTTGTGAATGTAAAATCACGTGTCCATAACCTATACGATGAACCAATAACTGTTAATGTATGTAAACTAATTACCCCCCTTCTCAAATTGAATGCATCTATTGCGATAATGGTATTCTGTAAAGATGTCTTTTATGGGTGTGGGATGTGGTGACTCGTTTGCTAAACTCCTACTAAAGAAATAAGCAGGATGAGGTATCAAGAAAAGATGGTACAATCCACTAATAGATGAGCATGTTCAAATCAATGTTGATGTATGCTGGTAGGTTGGCATAGCTTTCCGTGATAATGACTTGGTGAGGGGCCAGATGCCAAGTGCAAAGTTTCGCCAAACCAAACCAAATAAATGACAAGTACAGAGGGGTTGGGAGGAGTACTGGCATTGGATGACAGAAAGCTGTGGATAACAACATCTCTGACGATGCCCTTCACGATTGCATAATTTCTAAGGAGAGCCTCCCTAATGAAGCCGGCCTTCTCCAACACCCTCTGTGAAGCCTTGTTGTGAGAATCAACTAAAGCCTCTAATCTGAGCAAATCTGGGAAGTGGCTGAAGGCTTGGGAAACAGCCATGTTAACTGCTTTAGTGGCGATGCCTTGGCCCCAGAAGGGAGCAGCAAGAGCGTATCCAAGTTCTGCTCGACATCTCTCAGCTCCTGAGTTAGGACTAACAGAAACCATGCCGATGCAGCGATCGTCAATGCATATGGATCGACGCCATGGGTGAGGTATGCAAACATCTCTTATAAAAGTCAAAGCCTCTTCTCTGCTTCTGATTAGACTCATTCGAGTATTCTGAGTCACTTCATCATCTCCTGCCCATAGCATAAAATCATCAACGTCGCTTAGCTTGAATGGTCGTAAGGTGATTCTTGTCAAGTCCATCGCCATGTTGGACCCTCAATGCAATTGCTCATTGCTCCTTCCTCCTCATCGCCGATTTAAAAGTCCCCTTCAATTATTTTTTATTATTATCACGACGACTTGCCTCTTTGCCCGCCGCCGGAGGAAAAGTCCCCGTCATAAATAGATCGGCCAGCTTTTTCAGAGTTTTGTAATCCAAAGACGGCTGGTGAGGTACCTTTTTTGGGACCAAAGATTGGTGAGACGCCTAGGAAGCAGGAAAAAGCCGTTTAATTAGATCCGTCATATTCGAGTGAATTTTTTTTTTTTTATACAAGAAAAGTTATCGACTGGACCATCAAGTGAAATTTTTTTTGGTTAAAATTACAGGTACTAAATGTGAGCATTTTTCTCAGCAGAAATTTGAATCTTAATTTATTATATTATAAGGAATTAGTCTCTTCTGCTGGATCTGTTAGTCAAGTGAAATTATTAAAATTGTTCAAAGCTGCGCAAGAACAGGGAGGAGGCCACCATGGGCTTTCTTGATCATTGATGCAGCCCAGCTAAATACGTTTAACGAAGCTATTTCGCTCATGAATCATTATTTATCCATGGCCCGCCCGCAGGTATGTCGTGCTCAGCTATTCTTATCGTCTACCAAAATAAGAAAGAGTAGTTTAGCATTGATATTTGGCACACAAAAAAAAAGAACTTTTTTTATAAACTCATTTACGCTCTGGGAATGATTTCGCAATATTTTTTAAGATTTGAAAAAATCAGCCACATGATCTTGCCCTGTTCTTGACAACCATTTTATTAGTCCAAAGAAAAAACCGGCATCTTTCAAAAAAGAAAAAATGAATATCGCCGGGCTGATATCACAACAGTGTATTGTAAAAACTGGTATCTTTCCCAGCACGGCATGAATATTTCCTTTGCCGGCTGCTACAGTGCTAGAACAATGGGACCCCAATAGATATTCAAGCAAGTTAGCAAATGCATCATTAATAGGACCCCCCAAAAAAAAAATCCTGTTAAACGATTAGCGGACAGATCCGAACTGGCAACCTAGTTCAACACAGCACGCCTGCTAACAATTTAACATACCATCCACCACTCGCTCTTATTCGTTATGATACACACAAAAAAATGAAAACAGTTTATCATGCAACCATCTCCCAATAACACAGGCGATGAGATGCGTCTTCATTTTCACCGTCAGTTCAGATCGGACATTCGTCTTCTATGACGACGTAAAGTAACGACCACGTTAGGATCCGATGAAGTGAACATTCTGGTTCCAGGATTGGTGGTTTTTGATTCCAAACCGTTGCATTTAGGACTCTCCGTGGTTTCACCAAGCCGAGATTTTCCAGTTGAATTTTGTATTACCGCTTTCAATCGGAGATCCGAGCAATTCAGTGATTGGGAACCTGAAAACTGGAGGGAACCTCTTGTGATCGCTGATCTTAAACTTCTTGATCGTCCAACTATTTCTCTTTCCGACGCACTTTGCCTCTGGCGACTGGCAACAGTGGAAGTCATGAATCGAGGCATAGAATTCGATATAGTGCTTTTAATATATTTCTTAGATGCTTTTGGGGTTTCAGTGACCTCTTTCGCATTATTTTTAGGGCTTATAGGGGCACTGTCATCGTTTTCCAGAAGCTTGTATGTAGTTGAGAAGACCTTTTTCTGTTCCTCTAACTTTAACTCAGCCTTCTGAATCTGATCCCTTAGTTTCTGGTGTTCCTTCTCGGCTTCCCTCATCTCTTCCTCGAGCTCCAGAATCTTCTTCTCCTTTTGCTTTCTCAGTTCCTACGGTAAATGGATGTATAGACCGTTAGCTATCTTCAAACAGTTTCTGCTCAGGAGCTCACCTTGGGACAACCATCAGCAAGTTTACGGTTTACCTCTGGTATTTCTTTGTTGGACTCCGTTGCTCTTGCCCTCTTTGCAAAGTTCAAAGAACACATTGTCTCACAAACATCTTCTTCGTAGGGGCTTATGTGCACAAGCATCAAGACCTTTGAACCATTACCTGGATTACTAATTATAAATTAGACATTTCTGGTTTTGATAAATTTAGTTAGCGTGCATGCTTCATAGATTTGTTGAAACTTCAACAAATATCCCACTGTTCTTATTCTAGTCTGATATATTCTGTTAAGTAAATCAAATTAGTTGAATCAAACTAGCCTCATTTTATGTGAGCTAAGTTGATTCTGTATGCAACTATGCATCATGCAAAATAGAGACCGGTACAGTATCACACCTAAAGAATCTTTGAGTATTTGAGTTAGCTTGCTATTTCTGCAAACAGGGAAGACAAGAATCAGTTAGATGATGCTTTCATTGCGGGGAAAGGTACAACAGTTGAGATGGCAAGATAGCAGCAGCCGACGATATGGCCCACGTCTACAGTTATCATCAGCCTTTTCAGGCACACTTTCACATCCAACAGCTAGAAGGACAATTAAACTTGAAAGTACTTTAATTAAATAAAGGGGCAGAGTACCTACCTATAAGGCACATGGCTCCTCTTCCTCCTCAAAGCTGCAATAACATCAGCTAAAGCTGAAAGAGAAAGATTAATGGCTCTGCCCTCATTAAGCGTGAGTCCTACGGCTCCAGTTTTCAGTAACCGCTCGCTTCCTCCGAGATCAACCATCCACAATTTGCTTATTTCTCTTTTGCCTTCCAGACCGTGTCCACGACGGAATATGGTGATCCTTGTCAAGCTAGATATATGAAGCTAAACGGATAACGTAATTATCAAGCTAAGAAATCCATGGAAAAGGTTTGACGTATCTGATTAGACCTATAACCCACCAGTGTGACCTGCTTGATGCCTCATTCACATGAGTCCATGAAGTGGATCTGGCCCTCCTACCTTTGTTGTACCACCATCTGGCTTTAGCAGAATCTGAGATTTGCACTTCTGAGAGACCCTCAATTTCGACTAATCCCTTAGGATCCGTTTGAATGTTAAGATTGCTGGAAAAGGGATAGCCTAAAAGCATCAGAGGAATGAGGCGCTATTGAACTTAGTCTTGAACAAAAATTCGGAGTTAGAAAGCTCACCATCTTATTACAGGTTCATAGGCTTTAGTGCATGGTCTCGGAGCCAGCAGATCTCTAAGACTACCCATGTAAACTTCTAACATGCTCATTGAAAATGTAAAAGATGATGAATTCTCTAGAGAGGCTCGACGAAATAACTCTTCAAGAGCACGGGGAATAATTCCTGGCTGCTCGTTTGTACCATTCTACAGAATCATTTCAGAATTTAGACCTGCCGCTCATACCCGGTACTCCTACACAAAGACAATAAATATACTACATGCATGTGAACGCAATGATGATACATCGACTCACCATTGTGAATGTCTTGCCAGTGCCCGTTTGTCCGTAAGCTAAAACGCACACATTGTGTCCGTCCATTGCAGATCGGAGAATGGGTTCGACCTCGATAAAAACACTTTCTGCAGAGGTTCAAAAGGGAGTACCCCTTGATAAAATCCTTGAACTCGAATGTAAGCATAATTAAGCAACAGCATTAAATACTAGCCTTGGTTTGCTTCTTGAGGGAAAACCTTATCAAATTCAAAGTCTTTCTTCGCTCCTCCCATTTTAACCCGAATCCTTTCTGACGCAGCAGAAACTGGCTCGGAGGTTATTCTCCCCTCTGCCAATAAAAAGGGTCGAACTCTACAGAATACTCGAATGCTGCCTGGATTGCAAAATGCAACTCTTAACACTGGAAAGTATGGTGATGGTATACAATAGATTCCTGCAACAAAAGCTTCTCTTTGGACAGCACATGCTCGGTACCTTTAATGTCCAATATCTTACTCAGTGCTTCTCTCCGCTTTTTGTCAAATACGCACTGTTCGTTCCTCAGCTGCTTAACTTCTCCTACACAACCAATTCAATTCCAAAAATTAGTTCCATTGCAGCTGAATAAAGCTCCTTGTCCCCAAATTAAATTCGTAACAAAGTAAATTGACGAGACACTGTACTTTCTAGATTTGACATCAATTGCTCTAGCTCGTTCTTTTCGTGTTCGGGAATGACGCCAACATCAGTGTAAATGGTAGAAACTGGAGGCGAATCGGGGAATTCAGCAGCTGATAGGGACCCATTAATGGAATCTGGATTTAAATTCCAGGAAGTTGTTTTAAAAGCCTCAGTGACATTTTCTGATGCATGCTCTGAATGGAACAGAATCTGCTCTTCACCAGAAGTGAACATCTCCCCAGACAAAGCTGAGCGTGTAAGTCACCAAGAGACGAGATCACACTTCACTCCAGCCTTATCCCGCTGGATCGCTGATATCTCAAATAATAACGCAGAAGATGAAATAGTAGATTCGTTCTCTTGACCCAGAATCCACGAAGTATTCTGCAAGGGATCAAATAAGAAAGGACGAAGAAAGATTCAAAATGAGAAGTAATGGAAGTTATCACTGCTCTTAAGTAGAGATCTGACTTCTCCTATCCAACGAAGACTCGCGGCAAGCAGCGATCAATGATTCTGCCAAAAAGGAAAAATAAATAAGAATGGCTGATGACTAAACCAAGAAAAAAAGCGGCAGTCACACCATTCGAAAGTACCCAGAACGTCCAGATACCATAAATTGAGCCTGCGACTCGCGCAAATTACAAAATATGTAAATACTGAACAGCGTCAAGAACGAGAACAGAGCACTATATTTCAAACCTGAGAGAAATGAGGAAAAATGAAGTATGGCTCGTCCTCGTCCGATGTGATAGATAGCGTTATACTGAAGCTACATTGGAGAAACAATAGCCATGATTCATGTAACCCCAGAAAAGAAAAAAAGGCATTGGGCTCGTGCAAAGAAGAGCCGGGGGTCAAAAACTTAAGCGCAGATTTTCAAAGGAGCTTGAAATTATGGGAATCACGGAAGAAGAAAAAGCCTCGGAGTCAGTTTCAATGATTGAAAAATCTCAACGACCCTGATTAGGAGGTGAAAGTTCCTGGGGAGGCACACACTAAATATAAGAGATACTTCACTAAGTAAATTAAATAAATAAGCTAGTTTGGTTATTTGTAATGCATTAGTACTCTTCCGTTCTTTAATATAAGACCCAATTCTTAAGTTGGTTTTGGTCTTAAATATAAGACCTATTTCTTATATTTATCAGTTTTCTCTAAATTACCCATATGGATACTCTCTCAACCATAATCAAGTAGAAAATGGAGAGGGGTATTAAGAAAGATGATTATGGTGTTTTAGGAAAAATGTGTCACTTTTCTTATAATTAACTAACTTACCTAACTTCCTTAATCTAATTAAATTAGTTAAATGGGTTTTATATTAAGGATCGGAGAAGTATTATTTTTTTAAAAAATATTTTTACTAATCAAATTTATTAACTAAAACTATCATTATTAAAATGCTTATTTTGAAAAATTAAAAAAATAAATATAAGAAGCAAAATAAATTGAAATATTATATTTAGAATCAAAATAAAAATTAAATAAAATCTTAAATTGAAAGCCGGAGGTAGTATAATAAAATAAAAGGAAAGGAAAGAGTGATGTAAGAAGCTTTTTGGTTGGTCCGGATCTTCAACTGAACTGTCTGCATTCCTCTCTCAGGCAGTGGGGCGGGCGCAGCGACCACTAAGTGCCGCATTGAAACTGTTTCTTTTTTCAAATTAATTATTAAATGACATATTGAGGCCCCATAAGAAGACCAATTCTATTCTTATTATAAATATAATATTTGATTGACTAATTTAAAGATGTTAAGAAAGTTAGTTAAACTAGTTATTTATAATAAATAAAAAACCGGACTAAACATTAAACAGGCCAAGATAGTGGTTCAATAGTCAGATCAAGGTCAACTCAGGTCAAACTGATCATATTAAAATAGTATAATTTAAATGAAAATAACAAAATATAATAATATTAATAATCATAGCAATTATTTGATTGTAACAATAACAAGTACAACAACATTAAGAATGATCTTTATGATTTATCAATGACTAAAACTCACAATCATTAATACAAAAATCATCATTAAAATTCATTCAAATATATAGTAACTAAAATATTAAGAGTCAAATAAGAAAAAAATAATAACAACATGATCATCCAAATTAATTTATCATCGGTTCAAACATTGCCTTGGGAATGGGATGAAATACTCCTCCTTTTTTTCTTTTATAATTTCTATTAATTTTGATTAATTTGTATCTAGCACTCTAAAATATATTTTAGAATAGCGCTCAATATCATAAATTAATTAATTTTAATGGATTATGTATCCTAAAGTATTTTTCAGTAATACTCAGTATCTTAAATTAATTACTTTTTAGTGAATCTATCATCTTAAAATATTTTTCCAGTAACATCCATCCATTATCTCAAGTTAATTAATTTTTAGTGCATTTAGTGTTCTGACATGGTTTTACAATAACACCCAGTATCGTAAATTAATTATTTTTTAGTTAGTTAAGCATTTAGAAGTGATTTTTCAATAACACATAGTATTCTAAATTAATTAATTTTTAGTGTGTTTAGTATCTTAAAAATATTAATTAATTTATAACACTGAGTGCTAGTAAAAAAAATATTTTAAAGTATTGGATACGAATTAATCTAAATGAGTAAAAAATAAAATTAATAGAGATAATCTTAACAAAAAATAAAAGAGGAGTATCTTACCTCGTCCCCAGATGATAACATTTGGGGGATAAGCATATCGTGCTTTGAGATTTGCTGAGCACGGCATGCGAATCCCGCCCTCTCCCCGCCTGCTTCTACCTTGGCTCGGCCGAGGCAGGGGGGACGTGGTTCTTGAAAGCCAAAACCAAAACTTCTAAATTTAATGATTAATAATTATGATGTTTAGACATGCAAACATAACAGGAAATAGCAGCTTTTATTTTTCCGCCAACAAAACTTATACTAATCCGATTCTTAGTATAAGATTTAATTAAAAAATTAATGTTGATTTTATATATAAAAACTATTTTATATATTTATTAACTTTTTTAAATTAATCTTATTAATATTCTCCCAACGATAATTAAGTAGAAGAGAGTGTGAGAGAATTTAAAAAGATATTTAGGGTATTTTAAAAAAATATCATATTAATTAATTTTATTAACATTTTTAACATACTTAAATTAGTTAATTAAGTCACGTATTAAGGATAAAAAATATTAATGTTAAATATAGTTAAATATCAATATTATTAGTAATTGAAAAGGATATAAACTTAATAGTGCATCTTCAATATTAACATCACAAACTTCGAGTCAACTAGTATTCACTATTTATCCAACAATCCCTGCTTGCTGCCCATTGTCTTTGGGTATGTTTGGATTGGCGTTGGGCAAAACTGACTTCTGGGCAAATTGACTTTTGTAACTGAAGTTAGAGTAAAAGTCAGTTAGTGTATGTTTGGATAGGTGCTTTTAAGAAATCAGTTGAAAAAGTTAAAAGTTGTTTGGATGATTAATAGAAAAGTTAGTTTAGTTTTAAAATGACTGAAAAAAGACATAGACTATATTGAATAATAGTGTTTGAAATTTTATGTTTTTAATGTGATAATAATTTAAAAAAATACATGATAAAATATAAATAGTTTATTTGCAAAATTATAAAATAAAAATATTTGTTACCGAGAAAAATTGAAAACACATTGTAGATAATTATTATGATAAATAAAGAAGGACCTCAGATTTATTTAAAAAAAAGAAAAGAGAATAAAACTATGTGTTTTCATTTAGGGCAAGGGGATGTCATTATCATCTTCTCATGAAGCTGGAGGGAGCAGAACAGTGGAGGAATGAGGATTATTCTTCAACACCCCTTCCCATATATATGACCTCACACACGCAACCTTCCGAGATGAAAAAAAAAAAAAAGTCGCACACACCCAAGACCCAACCTCACCGACCTTAATCATCCATCATTCACCATCTACCAATGCATACCACACCCCTGCAATCATCACTACCTTTTCCCTCCTTCATCGTCTTCGACAGCGAGTGGCAGAGCAGGACCCGAGACCATCATTCCCTTCCACTTTCACCATTGCCATTCATCGCCACTTCAAACGGAGACAATGGGAGACATGCGTGGGGGAGAAGAGCAAGGAAGGCTCGGCCATGTGGGGAGAATGGAGAGAGTGAAGGAGGGAGAAGCGTCGGCAGGAAGGGAGGGAGAACAGCTGGTGATGGTGAAGATGGAAGCCTGGTGACTGCAATGAGCTCTACGGAGGGAGTGACCTAAAGGTGAAGGTGGATTCGGGGAGGAGAAATGTAGGGAGGGTTAAAATTGGTAGGTCATATTTTATGATCTAATCAATGCTCCATAACGGTAGCTCTCAGTTTTCAAATGCTCCAGAAGTAGCTTTGCTCAGTGTTTCATTGGCGCCAAGCGTGAGGGAATGCTAGATGTTTAGTAATTTCTCCTCCTTCGAGAATAAAAGATCCCATTGAAGCGGCTAATCCCATGCATACGGTCTGTACATCTGGTTGCACAAATTGCATAGTATCATAAATAGCTATTCCGGGTATTATTTCCAGCGTTTACCGTTTGTCTCAGAAGTTAGTTGCGTCAGTTGTCCCAGCCAAACAACCATTTCTCTTCAGTTCAGTTGCAAACCTTGGTTTCATAATTTCCCAGGGCCTTTTAGCATTTGTAGCGGCAATCCAAATGAGCCTTTTTGTCCAAGTGGTCTCATCCACCACTGCACCTCAACAGCGCGGGAGTTGTTGTTCCTCCAGTTGTCTCGCCTGCGGTAGCTTTTACGATGTGAGTAGTTTTACCTCAGAGCTAACAGGCTGCGGATTAGGAGTACTGTTATTATAAATTACTTGCATGTTGGAAAGGGGGAAAATTTTGTTGCATCTTAATCATTAATTTAGTTCAAGGACTAAGGAGGGGCAATAGAATTAAAATATCGTATTGGACTCGCAATTCATTGTGTCATTAGGGAGATCATGCAATAATTTCGCGAGCAATAATTTGAAGACTTTTTACTCTACAACAGTGCAATTACTACTCTTTACATATTAAAAATACGATTAAAAAATTATTTTACAATTTTTTTGTAAATTAAATTCTACATAACAAAAATTAAATTTGTTTACAATTTATGTGAGTCCCACACTTTGTTTTCACTGCGGCCCCCGCATTCTTCTCTACAGCGTCAATTAAAAAATAAAATATAAAAAAATTTTAAAAAAAAATCCCAAAAGAAGACGGATGTCTGCTGTAAGTCTGCAGTGCGTATTTAGCTGTAAATACATAGATGCGCGAATTCTGCATGAGTATTTGATTTCCATGAACATTGGCATTCATAGAACCCCGCCAAATCACTTCAGAGAGGGAGAGAGATCTCCGGTACCCGACCGATACTAAATGTGCGATATGATACAGAGATGCGTGAATTCCACTTTGGATGTGAATGCTGCTCATATTTTTATCATTAAAACTAGTTGGAGATTCAATTTGGTTATAGATATAAAATATCAATTTATTTTATTTTTAATATTTTTTAATTTTGCCTTTCATATTGGTGATTGTATAGGTCATAGAGTTTTCATCTGCACATGATTAATACGATATTTTAAAAGAGACAGCATCTATTTATTATAAATAATTATCTTAATTAATTTTTATAATATTTATAAATTATTTATTTAACTCTTTTTTAATTTTGTTAAGAGTTATCCAGCTCTTATGTTAATAATATAGTATTACTTTTTTTGTCCCCCTTACACTAAACACCTACGAAGGTAAGTCCATAAAAAAGAAAAGAGACGGAATATACTCTACATTTATGGAATAGGATTGATATTTTGCCACTAAGGATAATATGATGAATTGTTATCATATCTTTTCCATTTTTGTCATATCTCTATACAAACACCAAAAACAAAAAATCCCATCTTGTTTCAAATATATTCCTTCTGTTTTTAATGTAAAACCTAATTATAAAGTCAGTTTTTATTTTGAATATAAAATTTACCTATCATATTTATCAATTTTTTTCAAATAATTTAATTAATACTCTCTTAATCACAATTAAGTAGAAGAGTGATTAAAGATATCAAAAAACGCTACTAGAATTTTTTTTAAAAAATTATCATGTTTGTTATAACTAACTCGCGTTTAGCTCCCATCGATGCCTTGACTTGTTAGAACAGCAAGCTGAGGCCACCGCCACAATTTGTCCTTCTCTTGCAGGAGTCACAATTTTTCAAGCTTAACCTTCTTTCTTTGTGATGGGCTGCATTGGCTAGTCCAACAGACATTAAGCTCATTTTCCTACCTCCAATAGCAGTACTAGATGACATGGCAAAAGGAAAAGATGACACTAAATAACGGGCACATTAATATTTTCAAAATTGCCCCCTGGTGGGGGGCAAACCAACTGCTTTCTGTACGCCACCCGATAATCAGAACATCTCATTTTAATATTTATTTAATTATTTAATCCTTGTTTTAAATTTTTGTTCTCATAAATTTCCAAAGAGGAGGACTGGATGTCTATCAAAACTATTAAAATTGAGTATTTGACTGTTATGTATCTGTATTCATATTTTGGATAATACTCACATGAAACTCATTATATTCATCATATCAAGTTCTCCAATTATATATAATCATATCTTATATTTTTAAAATATTAATATTTAATAATATTTAATTATAAATTCATATGAAAGAAAAATATTGGAGAATTTGATATAATAGGTATACGTAACTGGGCCTAAATTTTTTTATTATATTTTTCATGTTTTATTCAATAAAAGTTAGAATTGAAATAAAATAAATTCATTATTTAAAAATAAAAAAATTAAGCCTGTTCCAATGAAATTTATTAAACGATTCGGTGTCATCTCGTCCTGATTCCCCTGAATGTCTCCGTAAGGGTTCGGCTTTCCAGTGGCGCTTTGCCCCCATCTGGCTTGCAAAGACTATAGTACCCTTTTCAGCGAGAAAGACGATATTGCCAATGAGTTCACCCAAAAAAAAAAAACGAGTCAAATGACCTGCAACAACAAAAATCGAAAGCCCATTCGCGAAATTGCACCTATTTCTCTCCTTCTCAATCGGGAACACTGGACTGTCTAAACTTGAAAATTCGGCAGTAGGAGGAAACAAGCAGGCAACAGCTCGGAATTTTTTACTGATCAGGGTTAGGAGTTCACTCTGATTCTACACTGTTCCATATTCTCCTCCTTCTAAGCTGGTCTCAATCAGTATCATTTTTCTTTTTTATTTCTGAATTCGAGAAATTCTTCTGCATCCCAGTTGAAGTTGGATGTAGTTTTTGAGCGCTTTGAAATGCATCACCTTATGATCGGCTCGTAAAAGTCGGGGACAGTTTATTTTTACTGTATCTTTTTCTCTTTTTTATGTCTACTTTGTGTTAGGAATGATTAGGGGTATTCGACAGTTTCAGCGAATTCAATCTGTTATCTTTCCTAGGTCTTGCTTCGGCGGTTGATCATCTGGGTTCGGGTCTGAATTCACATTGAGCCTCGATAAATTCGATAAGTAACTATGTTTGTGTGGAAAGAACGACATTGAACTCTGGCTGGATGCCGAGTTTGCCATAACATGATCGGTTGAATTCCTGAGCTATGGATTACGGAATCAAATAGCCGATATTTTGAAAATAGTAATGTTAGCCTGATACAGTGTCGAAAAATTTCACTCACAAATCCTAGCAGCAAACTGCCGAAGGTTATTATAAACAGTAGTCAGAAGCTTTCAAAATGCTGTTTGGGCCCTCGTTTCGTCAATTTGAGGTTTCATATTAGTTGTTTACTTTTCTTGTTATGGCTCCTGGCTAGTACATAAACTCGCAAAATGATGATCTTGTTTGAGGTCGCTCCGTTAACTTTTCTTGCGGTTCCGAGAGTCTCCGTTCTAAAAGGGTACAGGAATCAACACCTAAAGAACTTTTTCAGAATAAGATTTTGGTTTTACGCCCTTTTCTCAGAAGCAAGAAATTTGTAATTTAGACCAGTGAAATTTTCTGTTGTTGGGTTTGGACAGATATTGGCATGTACATATTCTTAAGGTGAACTGTGTGATATGGTTGGTTCAACTTTCAAGAGGTCCTAGGTTGTGCCTTATGCTTTTGTCCGGTTGGTTATTTAAAAGGTGTTTGTATTTCACCTCTGCATGCAGCCTTCCTGACTTCTTCGGTCCTTTGAATCTTCTTTTTATGATACATGGCCATACCCTACATGCTGCTAAATTTTGTCTTCTGAATGCTATTAGAAATGCTTCTTAGTGTAATTCTTATCGTAGCTGCCATTATTTTTCTAGTGATTCAGTTGGATTACTGTACAAAACCGTTGACTGTTCAACTATGGTATGTATGTTTCATACGTGTAGTTTTTTTTTTTTTTTGGTGGATTGGTCAGTGATAGGGATGCATGATGAAGCCAGCAGTTAGTTCATTTGTGATGTTTAAGATATTTTTGTATGGTCTAGTGTGATGGATTCAGCTGGGCATGTTGAATACTCTCCATGTGCCAGTATTAGAGGTCTAAGGATTTAGAATTGAGGTGTAAAGTCAGACCTTGATACGCAGAGAAAGTATCTTGAAACCTAAGGTGGCCGATCCGGATTTGATTCTACATTACTTGAACATTGCAATGGATTATACAATTGAGATTACCGCCTTTACACTTGGCTAATTTACTCTTAGAATACAATAGGATACGTTTGCCATGAGATTTATTTATCGTTGCAGCAAATCATTCAATTAAGCACGCCTTCCTATGTATTTCCCCCCCCTTTTTTTTCCTCCTGTGGATGTACCATTTACAATATGCAATTTATGTATTTTTGTAGTTTCCACCATGCACCGTGTGGGTAGTGCAGGGAACACAAACAATTCTATTCGATCTCGAAAGGAGAAGAGACTAACATATGTGTTGAATGGCTCTGATGATACCAAGGTGATTCATTAATTTATTATTTTAGTTCTTCATACACAACATAGTTTCATAGCTGTTTCTTTAAAATCACATGTCCGAACTTCTAATGTACTGTTTTTATTGTGGTGTGTCTGAAGCTGTCAAATTCAACTACTTGATTGAGGCTGATTAGTTATTGACTGATTACTTAAGGTTACAAATATGCATCGTTTTCACTTTGTTTTATCCTGGATGAGGATAAAGTTTAAGTTGTTATCCATATTAATGTCTATATTTTGATGTTAGGCCCCATAGCCATTGATTGTGCACATGTTTTAACTGACTTCCTCATGCTAGGTGCTTGCTAATTAGCATTTTCTTCAAAATGTAGCGATGCATGTTTTGGCTGGAAAGTGTTTTAAAGTTTGAGACTTGTCTTTGTTGCCCTGCCTATCTGTTTAAAATTTTCTTGCCCTACAGCATTTTGCAGGCATAAATTGTTTGGCTTTGCTCAAGTCATCAGTATCTGATGGGTCTGATTATCTCTTCACTGGAAGCCGTGATGGCACTCTAAAACGATGGGCATTGGCTGAGGATGTTGCAACCTGCTCAGCTACTTTTGAATCTCACGTGGACTGGGTAATCCTGTTAATTTTATTTCTTCCCACTTTGTTGCTTGATGATGCCACTTCATGAACTTGTGTTTTTTCCTAGGACGAATAGTTAATTGGATGGCATTTTAATTGTTCTTGCGCAGCTCACTGAAGCGCACAATCTCAGTTATAGTCTATGATGCCGTTACATTAGGTGAAAGCTGTTGAATGTGCTGTGTGCAAGTCGTATTTTTTTTCTTGGGATATCTAGAATTGTAATTTCCCCATCTGCATATTATGCCTAATCATGATGATTATTCTAGTCTTTATCTATGATGGAATTCAGAAATTTGCATAATCAAATGTGCATTTTTGTTTTATCTTGTTGTGTATTTCAGGAAACTCCATAATTTGACTTATTTACATAGTTTTTATTGAGAAAAAATATGAAAAATAGTCAAATGTGATAAAGAAAAGGTGTTGAGAACCCATTAATTTCTCTTGAACGAACTCTCAACTGCACTTGGTACTTGATTGATTATTGAAGCATGCCTTGTTCGAATCAAGTTTCATAGTCACTGAACTCAAAGATCTTCTTGCCATCCTTTTGTCATGTTTTCTTCCCTTATGTTGTGAATCGTGACCTCTTGAAGTGCGTCCTGGCCATCAAAGATTTGCCTCTTAAATTCCTAAAACTATTGGCAGTGAATTCTAATGGCTACATTACTAGGACATGGGAATAGGGATGCCTTCATACTCAGAAAACAAAATACAAATGCATAAGCTCTTAACCTTTGCACATGCCTAAGTTCAATTTATAATTATTTTTGCTCATTGCAGGTTAATGACTCTGTTCTTGTGGGTGATAATAAGCTTGTTTCTTGTTCTTCAGATACGACCCTTAAGGTTTGCTAATTTCCACTCCACAATTGGTCCAATGAGTCCTTGTTCTTATATTACTATACCATTATTAGTTAATTATCTTCACTTTTTCCCTTCTTGGTCTTCTATCTGTTTTTCCAGATATGGAATCCCTTGTCTGATGGAACTTGTACTAGGACTCTCCGCCAACACTCAGATTATGTTACTTGCCTTGCAGCAGCTGAAAAAAATGTAATGTAATTTGAACATTTCATGCTTGTTATTTTGTACATCAAGAGAAAAGGTTTATCTTTTTGCTTTATATGTTCCCCAATTTAACTTGATTGATAGTATTGATTGAATGATAAGTTTGTATCTTTATCAAATCCATTTTCTGATCCTTTTATAGTGTCATGCATTTTAGAGCAATATTGTTGCCTCTGGTGGACTTGGTGGGGAGGTTTTTATATGGGATCTCGAAGCTGCTCTTGCACCAGTCTCACAGTGCAATGATATGGATGAGGGTTGTTCAAACGGTATCCATGGGCCTGGAAACTCCTTACCAATGACAAGCTTACGTAGCATTAGCTCTGCCAACAATAATATTATCTCTAGTAACGCCACTTCCATGCACACTACTCAGTCTCATGGGTACCTTCCAATCGCTGCCAAAGGCCACAAGGAGTCTGTTTATGCATTAGCAATGAATGAATGTGGAACCCTTCTTGTATCTGGCGGCACAGAGAAGGTAAAGTAGAGAGTTGATGTTCATGTTTCATGTTCTGACTTGGTGATGGCTGTGAGGCTTCTGTTATTGCCTTCAAAACTTTAAGAGGTGTTCTGTTTGAAGCTATATGAGCTTAAAATTCATTAGGTAGGTTGCATGGTTGTCTAATCTCTTTGCTTCTATAGGTCGTACGTGTTTGGGATCCAAGGTCTGGATCAAAGACCATGAAATTGAGAGGGCACACAGACAACATTCGGGCTCTGCTTCTAGATTCAACCGGCAGGTTTGTTGAATAGACATGTAACTTTTAAGGGACAATTTTCAGCTGAAATTTATATTTAAATTCTATCGGGGACTTACCTGAATCCTATTCACTTACTAACTTCCTTGCTGTCATAAAATTTTCCCCAATTTTTTCTACTTCAATCTTTCTCATATGGCATTTTATAATTCCTTATAGCGCATAGATGACTATGCATTCATATTTTGTGGCATTATTTTCATTGGCTTCATCGCCATCCACAATGGATTGCTATTCAGTTGTCAGTATTTTAGAGGATGATATGTGGTATGTGGATGGGGTTATCTATGTCATTGTTTTTTGTTGGATAAGTTTGTTTGATAAAATTAAGGCATACTGTTTCTTGCAAGTAAACTGACATACTTTATTGCAGGTTTTGTTTGTCAGGGTCTTCTGACTCTATGATAAGGTGAAGCATTTCTAGCCAAAAGGCATACTCTATGATAAACATTTTTATTAGGTGTTGCTTAACTAACTAATCTCACTATCTTCCTTGTAGACTATGGGATCTTGGTCAGCAGCGATGTGTGCATTCTTACGCAGTTCATACAGATTCTGTTTGGGCACTTGCCAGCACCCCATCTTTTAGCCATGTTTATAGTGGTGGGAGAGACTTCTCTGTGAGTACACTGTTCCTTGAAAATTTTATTATCATGTTAATTATGTGACCTCCTTGTTCTGTTTAACTCGCGAAGCTCGCCTTTTTGATGCCCTATTCTTTTATACCTTAAGTTATACTTGACAGATTTGCAAACAAGAGAGAGTGTTTTGCTTTTTACTGGCGAACACCCCATTTTGCAACTTGCTATGCATGATGATTCTGTATGGGTTGCCTCAACAGACTCATCAGTTCACAGATGGCCTGCTGAAGGATGCAACCCTCAAAAGATTTTCCAAAGGGGCAATTCATTTTTGGCTGGAAATTTGTCCTTTTCTAGGGCAAGGGTGTCTCTTGAAGGATCTACCCCTGTAAGTTGCCTTTACTTAATGTTGTCTTATAATTATTAAGATCTTGTTATTTTGTCCGCCAAATGGCATATTGTTCTGGAAACTTGTTATGCTAATTGCATGTATGCTTTTAAAGAAGAAGCATATTTTGTTTATTTCATGTTAATTTGTACAACAAAGGGACTATAGTATTTGTCATCCCAAGAAGAGGTTCTTTCTGTACTGGGATGTGGTATTGACAATTTTCCTTCTCGTGGCTGAAATTATGATGTTATTAGGTTCCTGTTTATAAAGAACCAACCTTAACCATTGCTGGCTCCCCGGGAATAGTACAACATGAAATTCTAAATAATAAGAGGCATGTCTTGACAAAGGTAATGTTGATATCTTTTTGCTCATATTACTTTATCTGCATGTTTACGTTAATGCTGTTTTAATTTTCTGCTGCTTAGTTGCTAGGCTTTGTTTCCTTGATTTGTAGACTGATATATGTATTCTTTGTAGGATACTGCTGGTTCAGTAAAGTTGTGGGAGATTACTAGAGGTGCTGTGATTGAAGATTATGGGAAGGTAAGATCTGGTTGTATTTTTCAACAGTTCTTCGTTAGAATAGTGGTGTGTCAAGCTGTTCTGTTTTGAAAGGTGCTTGGCTTTTATGTACTTTTTTTTTTAATTGAATTTCAATGGTGGCTAATAAGGAATGCTCACTGTGTAGATTTCGTTCGAGGAGAAAAAGCAAGACCTATTTGAGATGGTATTGTTACTGATCTGCATTAGCATCATACTTTTTTGGTAGCATAATCTTTTTTCTTGTCCCATTTTATTGCAGTTTGCACTGGATGGTTTTAATATTCTTTCCATGTGGTTTCAGGTTAGCATTCCCACTTGGTTCACAGTGGACACCAGGCTCGGATGTTTATCTGTTCATTTGGACACACCCCAATGCTTCTCTGCAGAGATGTATTCAGCAGACCTAAACATTGTTGGCAAGCCTGAAGATGATAAGGTAAATGAACTTGTGATCATAAGCAACTCACCTGTCTTTATCTGTCTTGATGGGATGTAAAATTAATGGCATGGAATATTTGTATTCCTGTGAGTGCTGTCGTAAGACTTGCTATCTATGATCCCAGTAATATCTCATTAGAATGTTGGTCCAAAATGAAAAACCTTTGGAATCTTGATCTGTTTTCTGAAAGTACCTGGAGTCAATAGAAAATTTAGAGTTTGAGCATCGTAAAACAGAATTTAAGTGATTGACACAAGTTCAGTTGCTAACTGTCCTGTCTTAATTCCCATGTGGCACCAGGTTAGCATTCCTGCACGGTTCAATAATTTCTTTTTACCATAGAATTCATCCCAGTACTGTAATTAAATGATGACGATTTATTTCAATGAGAATTTGAAAATGGACATTTTGTGCGATGAAAATAATGGGCATTCCTAAACTGTGCTATGCGGTCTTGAATTCCTCGTCTATCTTTCTTGGGAATAAGTGAATGTTCTGTGTACCAGAGTTCCTTTGCAGTTGCTTCTCATGTGGTCTTGACACATAATTGTTGGCTCTCATAATCGATATCAATTTTATGAAAGGTTGCCATTTTCTATCTTAATGTATGCATATATTTAAGATCCAATGGCATGTAACCATATTTTTATTTGTTGTCTTGCTTCTTCTGGAATGATGCCTGTCATGGTGACAGCATCAGGACGCCGGATATTCGTATGGAATTTGTACATCTCTGAACCTGCCATGGCAGAATTTTAGCCTGTTCTAGAGTTTTTTGTAAATAGGACCAGGGCCATGGCATGCATCATTCCAGTAGTTGGATGTCCCCAGGGAGCATTTTGTCCTTCGTTGCAATCCTTTAGTGCATGCATTAAGTGGAATTATGAGGAAGCTTGCAGTGCTTTACTATTAACTATCCAAAATAATGTCTTTTCCAATAAATTCACTGGAAAAAGTTAATGAAGTCTTATAAATGTTCAGGTTAATTTGGCTCGTGAAACCCTTAAAGGGCTCTTGGCACATTGGGTGATGAAACGGAAGCAAAGAATGGGGTCACATACTCCTGCTAACGGTGAATTGCTATTGGGAAAGGAAATGACAACCAGAAGTCTTGCCCATTCAAGAATTGAGGTTGATAGTAGTACTGATCACGATGCTGTGGTTTATCCTCCTTTTGATTTTTCTACGGCATTCCCTCCTTCCATTATTACTGAAGGCAGTCAAGGGGGTCCATGGAGGAAAAAGATTACTGATCTGGATGGAACAGAGGATGACAAAGACTTTCCCTCTTGGTGCTTGGACTGTGTATTGCATAATCGGTTGCCTCCCAGAGAAAATACCAAGTAACTTCTTATGACTTCTCTCCCTCTCAAATTGGTTGCATTCTACTCATATTTGTGCATATTTTTTAATATTTATATATGGCTCAGAGTATTATTTTTCATTCTTCGATGATTCATAGTTGTTTTACTTGTTCTAAAATGATAAACTGACTCTTGGGAGTTTTACGATGGAGCTTTAAATGGCTTGCAAAACATTAATCAGCTCACGATATGCTTAAGAAGTTAAAGATGGCTTACTGCTCTCTGATCTGGTGGTGCTTACTAATTGTTTCTTGTATTGATCTCTTATTTTTTCTGTACTTGTGATAGTTATTCTCATGAAATGATTTAATTCATATTCTTAATTTAATAGATTTAGAAAACTAATGGACTCTTATGAATTCAAGTGTCTGAAGTCTAAACTTATTATGGCAGTTTTATCGTTTTGAAAATCTTCAAGTTTACTCCTGGTTTTTTCCCCCCCATATAATACAAATTATTTTTTGTTAACCTCTGCAGATGCAGTTTCTATTTGCATCCCTGTGAAGGTTCTAGCATTCAGATCCTTACGCAAGGGAAATTAAGTGCTCCACGTATATTGAGAATTCACAAAGTAAGTTTGTTTAGTCATAGCAATTGGCAATTGGAAATATAATAATTACTTGTATGTAAAGGAGAAGACGCTCTCCATCTAGGGATCTTGTGTTTGACCATCCTCGCTTGGATATCCATATCTTTTTCAAAAGGACAATCTATGTAGGAAAAGGGCAATGTGCTATGTCTTATTATTTATCAATTGGTTGGCACTCTGCCATTAAGTAGCTAGATGACTCTTTTAGTAATCTATTCCATCTGTTGTGAAAAACTAGTAAGCGCTATTGCAAGAATGTTTTTTTTCCTCCAGGGATGCTAATATTTTCTCCTTTAGCTCCTTTGTTTGGGTATGGGTAGTTCCAAGTGTTTACCTTTTGCACTGCTTACTCTTTTAAATGAATTATGATTTAATTTGAAATATTGTGATAAACAGCTAAGTGAGTGGATGTTCGGGCTCTATGATTGTATTCTGTTGCCAATATATTTAGCTTCAATGATCAACTAATGATTCTGAGAAGCAAATCTGTAGATTTTGCCCTGAATTTGAAAATTTTCATGCTCTGTCCATGTATATATACAGAATCATTTATCTATTTCTAAATGAAACACTATGTGAGAGGAGGGGAAGCAATACTTTGACACACTCCTCTGGTGACTGCTGTGATTAAATCATAGGGAGCGAGGTTGTTTTTTTGGGCAGCACGTGTGTTTTTGACAAATTTCTTCCAGTTTTGCATTTATCTTGATCATTTTGTGTTTTAGATGCATTTCATGGCTAGTTTGCAGAATTACTGCTCGTAATCATGTTGTTTGATTGACACTGTTGATCTTTTCTGTTCTGTAGACACTGTCCCAAAGTGATCGACTGATCTTTTTATATTTATTATTTCTGTCTAGGTTATTAATTACGTACTAGAAAAAATGGTCCTTGACAAACCATTGGATAGCGTAAATGCTGATGGTAGTTTTGTGCCGGGACTTCAACAGCAAGCAGTTGGGGATGGATCTTTCCGATCTGGATTGAAGCCTTGGCAAAAGCTTAGGCCTTCTATTGAAATATTGTGTAACAATCAGGCAAGCTTTTATGATGTCTCCGGTCAAGTCTAATGCTTTAAAGCTATAATTGAACTACTTTCCTTTTTATAGCTCGTCCCCCCCCCCCCCCAAAAAAAAAAACCAAAAAAATGACCAGCTTCTAGAACTTCATGTAGGGCCTATTTGAAAACTCAATTGAGTTGAAAGGGGAGAGTTTTGCTTTCGGAAAAGAAAATGAGGATTTTCATTCATTTAGTTTGAAGCACTGAAAAGTTTTAATTTTCAGATTGAAGTCAAATCCAGGAAGACCTAGGCGCTAGACATTTGAAAAACAAACCCGTAAGAATTACTATTAAGAAATATAAATTTACCATTTCTTCTTCTTGTTCATATCTTCAGTAGAAGCTCCGAAAACCTAGTAGCTCTTTCTTCCTAGATTTTTGCTGTCACATGAACGCAATGCTCTTGGAACATTTCTTTTCCGTTTTTTTTTTTTTTTAAAAAAAAAAGCCTTGTGTGACTTGACAACATTTAGTTTGGTTTGCATTATATATTAATTTATCACAGTAGTGTGCTAATGTATTGTATGCTTCAGGTCTTGTCTCCTGAGATGAGTTTAGCCACAGTACGGGCTTATATATGGAAGAAAGCAGATGACCTTGTTCTAAATTATAGAGTGGTTCCAGGAAGGTGACTGCATAATGCATGTGCATTGGAGGTGGGTATGGTGCGTTGAGTTTTGCTCGGCTTTTCTAAATTACAGTATGGTGCTGATGTTTCTATGACTTAATTTGTGCACTTCTTAAATCTGTATTTTACTGTCAACTAGAAGGACGGTGTTGGTAGGATTGTATTTATATTCTAATTGTTGCAAATAGAGAATGCTTTAGGCCTTTAGAGTGGACCAGTTTATTGCAGCTGGTCTGTCTAGAAAGGGTTTTTACGGCATAAAACATTTGATTTTTCTATAATCTTATATCTTTCTGAAAACAGACAGGTTTTGCAGTTCCTGAATTAATATATTGTCATTACAATCAATCAATATCAATATAAAATATGAAACACTATTTGTAAGTTATTAATGGTGCAATTTTTCTTGGATCTTGTCATTCATTTTATTCCTTCCGTATTTTCTTATATGCTTCGGAAGGGTTTGCATGCTATAAAACTCAATACAATTTTCTAAAAATTTTGAAGTTAGTATTTTTGATTTACATCGCCCGTGCAACGATATATAGTTAAACATGAAAATGTTAGGATAATGATATTCACTTCTTTCCTCCTTGTTTTAAAGCTTCTACTTTTCTTTTCAAATGTTTTTTTTAAAGTCTAGGAAATAAGATTCCTCTTTCTATTTCTTTTTGGGTGTAAAGATAATAACTGGATTTATTTCGTGTTGGTGAGGTCCTCAGACTTTATTGGTATATTAATATTTGCAGGTTATCTTTGATTGTGTAAAATACTGCAGAGCATTGATTTTTCTGGGAGTGCCTATGGTGACCAGTGGTGTTATTAGAAATTTGTAAATTCTGAATCCCATTGATCACCAAATAGCGGCATTTTCCAGACCTGCTTGGATAGTGTTTTTATTGGAAAAGTGTTCCTACGAATTTTGAATTTTTATCTAGCCGGCATGCTATTTTCTAGGCTTGGCGGAGTCAGGGGGGGTCTGCTTCTTGCAAGATGAAGAGTTTTGACTCTGTTGAGAATTAATGATCATGCCGGACTATTGGGATGTATTCCGGGCACTAGGTAGTTATTTATATATGACATCAAAGGCATTGTACATTTGAAATGTGAATTATATATCTAGCCATAGAAATTATTCTCAAGGTGTATCGTCACGTCTCTTCCTTTCGTGTTATATTTATATTTATTTTTTGTTTAGTGCAGATGAGTTTTTTTTTTTTTTTTTTATTTGTTTCAAACTAGGCGCTTAATATTTGTTTCGTTCTCAGGCATCCTCCCCCCCCCCCTCGAGTGTACTCAGTATTTGTGAAATTTTATTGTATGCTGGGAATTGGCGCTTGCTTCGAGCTTGATGACAGGTTTTGACCTGAAGTTAAAATTTTTGTTTTGGAATTTCTAGATTAATTTAAAATATGCCTGTGTTCAACTTGAATTAAAAAATAGGTTGAGGTGCAATTTTAACTTTAATCTTATTTTTCAGATGTAATTTTATCCTTAATCTTTTAGTGGTGTAATTTATTCTTGATCTTACTTCTTAAGTGTTTTTTTTTTAAAATTTTTTGGGTGCAATTTTGTCTTTAATCCTTAGGTTTGACCCTAAGGGTCTGGGGTTAAAATTGCGTCAAAAAAAAAAAAGGTCAGGGTCAAAATTATACTAGTAAAAAGATTTAAGGCAAAATTGTATTTGAGAAATAGGATTGAGGTTAAAATTGTTTCTTAATTCTAAAAAAATCATAAGTTTATAAACTAGAAAAATTGTCAAAAAATGACTGTTGAATTTTAAATTTTTAAATCAGTAATACTTGAAAAAAAATAACTACATTTGAAAAATGATAATTTATTTTTGTGTAGTAATTTGTGATTTGAAATTTCAAAATTCAACAGTTTTTTTTTAAATTTTTTTAAAAATAAATTTGGCAAATCAATTAAAAAAAAAAAATCTGTGAAAGGTGTGGTGGAGGCTGTAGAGGCGGTAGAGCAGGGAGCATATCTGCATATGGCTTTTATTCCCTTTAATAGAAGGACGTGGGCAGCAGCCAGGCATGGGATCCTCGGTAATAACGACAAGAAATGTCTGAAGCTTGAAACCCAGACTGTCGTTGTAGAAGTCCAAACGGTTCTACAATTAAGCTTGTTTTTTGTTTTATTGTGGGATGAGTATGGCTCTTCACAGGCGATCCTTCCAGATTTTGACTTTAGCAAAATTAATCATATCTTTAATTTGTTACCATGCGCGCGGCTGACGTTTACATTCACTCCTCCATTTGTTCTATGAAAGGGGGTAAAATTGATTTTCGGTTTTTGGACGTCGTTTCCCCAAGCAAGATATAACGGGTATTATCGAATTAACGGTGTTAATTAAAAGTTAACATAAAATATAAATAAAATTATACATAATGATTATGTGTATATGATTTAAAAATAAATATGCAATTTTGTACATACTTTTTGAGTTGAATCGAATTTATCAAATGTTAATTGATTTGATTTATTTATCATCTTTTAAATAGAACATATAATGATATAACATAAAAAAGTACTTTGTTACGTATGAGCACCGATCTCTCCTCCTTTTTTTTTTTCCTTTTCCTTTTTGCTGATAGGCGACGATCATATTAAATTAGCCAAATGCAATCAAACTTTCGCGCCCACGGAAACGGCCATGCAAATCCTAATTGCAAATGCTGGAAGGACCAGAGCGCGTCGTGGCCAAATGACAGCCAGTGAATGGAGAGAAAGACTGAACTTTGCGTTTTAAGCACCAATGAACAGCCAGTCAGATCCCCGTTACGTAATTCCTTTCCTATCACCCTTTCCCTGTTCTCCAAAAGAGCCACGCCCACTGTTTTTCCCGTTACATCTTTGTCATTTTCTCACTTTTGTTTGGGGCGCGTGTTCTAGAATTTATCCTCCATTATTTCCCAGCAATCACTGTTGTGCCGTCGTCATTATTACTCGTTAGACTACATCTTCCTTTCTTACCTCTGATTTTAATTTTTCCTGTAACTTCATTTTTCTTATTCATTCTTTCTTTTCTTCTCCGCTCTGGCCTATACATATATATAGTAGTATTATTTTATGCATGGTTCAGCTGTGTTTTTCAGATAACTATTTTATTGGGCGCAAAATAAAGGCTTCTTTTGAACTCTTGAGAGTTAATTAGTTCATTTACAGCCTTCTCAGAGGAAGGCTTCAGCCATTGGGACGCTGCTTGCAGAAGTCACGTCATTGGTGATGAGTTTCCAGGTTTCACCGTTCTCTGGAACTAACAGAGGATTCATGCATCGGAGCCGACTTAAAGCTCCTCGAAGCTTAGATAGTGGAAGCTCTACTGTATTGTCATCAGATTCAGTCGCCGTTAGCCGAACTTCTCCGCTTGCCGATAGAAAGCTAAATGGTTCTGTCAATGAAGAAGGGAATGGGCGGTTGCGGGTTCTTAGAGAGGAAGATAAGAGGAGGAATGCCGTTTTGACAGAGTTACCACCACTTTGGGACGATGGTTATGGGACTCAGACTGTAGAAGATTACTTCATTGCAGTCAAGGAATTGAATAAGTCTGATGACGGCGGGCCCCCCCGGTGGTTTTGCCCAGTTGAGTGTTCTCCTACTTTGAAAGACTCTCCTACTCTTCTTTTTCTACCTGGTAAATAGCTTTTTTTTTTTTCCTTGAATTCATCGGAAATTTATTTAGTTGCTTAATTTTAAATGCCCTCTGGTGTGATTGTGAGTCCTTTTTTTTTGGGATACATAGGAGGCTTGTGTGGTTAAAATGGTTCAGATAATGTTTTTCTTTTTCATGCTTTTCGAGAAGTGAATGTTAATTGTATTCAACTGTCAGTCATGGTTGTCCGTTTACGAATATTATAATGGAATATCTGACATTTTAAAATTGCTTGAATTCAATGGATGCAGGGCTAGATGGTACTGGAATGGGCCTGATTTTGCACCATAAAGCTCTTGGGAAGTATGTTATATTATTCAGATTAATAAAATTCGAAACATCTCGAGTTTGCAGCATTAGAACCAACACTTGAAACATACTGTCTCTGTTCCTTACTATAAGAGATGAATAACTAAATTACGTTGATAAAAAAAACAGTTAAAATTAGTTGAGAACAATTAATGTGTAAAAAGTATAATGTTTTTTTCACAATGCCCCATTAATAAGGAGAGAGAGTATGAGAGAGAACAATTAAATTATTAAAAGAAAGAGAAATAGGAGGGAGATAGAGTATGAGTTGGAGACAAAATAAATAGGGGTAAAATAGGAAATCAATACAAAAAAATAGAGACAACTTTTAAGTGTCTCTTATATATGAAAACATGCCATAAGCATCAAATGTTTCTTATAATAAGCAACAGAGGAGAGTAGTACATATGCCTATATGGAGTCTCATTCTAGTTATCACAGTTAAATTAGTTTTTCTGTGCAATGTTTAGTTGAAGGTTATTGGCAACGTTTAAGCTACGTCAAGAGAAATGGCCCCGCGACCTTACTTGAACAGGATCTACTCTAGAGGCTCATACCCCTGTTTCCTTGAGTTTGAAAGAAATGCCTCCATTAAGTGCTTTACTTTTTTTTTCCTCCAATGCAGGGCTTTCGAAGTTCGCTGCTTGCATATTCCTGTTCACGATCGAACTTCATTTGAAGGTCTTAGTGTTTTAAAGTATTCTTTTGTCGACTTCTTTGGAAGTTATTGAGTTATCTGTGTTATGTTATATAGTTGTTGTTATGATCATCTATGTTGTATAGTTGTAGGTGTTGTTATTATCAGTAATTAACTGAAACATTATCTTGAATACCACAAATATGAAGGACTGGTGAAAATTGTTGAAGAAGCAGTAAAGCTCGAGCATGCTTTATTTCCAAACAAACCAATTTATTTGGTGGGAGATTCTTTTGGAGCATGCTTAGCACTTGCTGTTGCTTCTCGTAATCCAACAGTTGACCTAGTACTGATATTAGCTAATCCAGGTGAATCTGAGGATGCTCTATTCATTTGTAAAATTTGCTCTCGTCTTTTTTTTTTTCAAGCTAAAGGTCAATCCTCTACTAAAATTTTTCATCATGATGGCTTTCAACACTAGCTACATCATTTGGAAGATCTCAATTGCAGCCTTTGTTTCCTATCTTGGAGGCTTGGCCAAATGAACTGCATGCCGCCGTTCCATTTCTTCTTAGTTTTGTTATGGGTAAGTGCTCTGTTTTCTACCAACTGGACTTTAAGGTTCAATTTTTCTTCTCTGTAAGTCAATGGAATTCATTCTCAAATGCTGCATGTCCTTCTCTCTCTCCTTTCATTCTGAATATCTTGTGGATGGAAATAAGTCCATGTATATTCCATATGTTGCTGCTATGTTATGCACAACAACAACAACAACGAGTTATGTCTCATTATATAAGATTAGTTACATGGATCGCACGATAGTATTGTATTCCATCAACAGCCAAATTTTTGAAAAAAATCATTAAATAAAAGGTCCTGCTTGATAATTTCATTTAATATTCTCTTGGGTCTACCTCTGCCTCTTTTCAGAGAACTCTATACTACTTGATTTATCCTTTTTACTGATGCATCTAATGGTCTTCTTAGTATGTGCCCAATAGCATTTTCTCCGCCTTTAAGAGAATGTAAAGGAGTTTAAAGCTTCTTGTTTCTTGTGAATTCTAGGTTCTAATTATAGTAATCATGATCCAGTTCCTTTTGTTTGGAGAGCTATCATTAGCTTAATGGAAATCTCATGCTAGACTCAATAATACAACATTAAAAAACAGAGGTAGCTTATATATTTAAGATTTAAGGTTGGGAACATTGGGATTGCTTTTTTACGGTTTTATTCAAAGGGCGAGCGCTCAAATCTCTTACTTCGGCTTTGTATTAATAGAATTTTACTTTGACTTTCTGGGTTCTTGCTACATTGCTTTATTATATCATGGTATCAGGTGATCCAACAAAGATGGCAGCTGTCAGCATTGAAAATAGGCTTCCTCCTATGAAAAAAATTGAACAACTGTCTAACAACCTTACTGCATTGCTGCCATGTCTGCCTGTAAGAAGTGTTAATATTCCATGCATATTTTTAGGCTGCATGATTTTATGTTTATTCTATGAACTTTTGGCTTACTTTATGATGAATTTGAAAGTTCCTACTATTCAGGCTGTATTTTATCTCCTTTGTCTGATTTCTTATCAGGACTTGGCCGACATTATACCAAAGGACACCCTTCTTTGGAAGCTGAAGCTTCTTAAATCTGCTGCTGCACATGCTAATTCGCGTCTTCATGCTGTGAAAGCTGAAGTACTCGTGTTAGCTAGGTTATTACTGAGATCACTTATTCACTCCATTTTCAATACTGTCTGTGTGATATAAAATATGTATCCGAGTTACTTTAAAGTGAATTGACAGAATTTTAAATTCTAGTGGCAACGATAAAATGCTTCCCAGTGAAGATGAAGCTAAAAGACTAAAGAGCTCATTGCAACACTGCAAAGTACGTAACTTCAAGGACAGCGGACATACCCTTCTTTTGGTATGTGAAATGACTCTATGTATTTGCACCCGTCTTTCCTACGTCTTCCAGTGCTTTTAAATATGGTCTTTCGAGTCAAAGTTTATAACTTGCTGGTTTGCTTATCTTCCATTCCTGTTCTCTGTTCACCTAGATATAACCGTAACTTCTTTGGTGTGTTCTTTCTCTTTTCAAGCTAATTTTGTTCTTTTTCTTAGCTACGCATATATGTGTGTGTGTGTGCGCGCGCGCCACAATATCTCTTGTATTCAAGAACTTTTTTTAGGATATGCAGTCTCTTTAAATGATATCCACTTCCAGAGTACATCACCATGAAATGACAAGCAAATGAAAGGATGTGCTAATTTGTACAAGTTATACAATGCTCAGGGTTATTGGACGAACTTGAATAATTAATTGTATTTTCTGCGTGGTTGTGCAGGAAGATGGCATTGGCCTGTTGACAATAATCAGGGGGACTTGCATGTACCGCCGTTCAAGGAGACGTGATATGGTCATGAATTTTATTCCTCCCAGCGCGACAGAATTCAATTATGCAATGGATCAAGTAGTTGGGTAATTTGAATAAACAAGAATCAAAATCAGAATCTTTTTTTTTTTTTGCCCCCTTTCTAGGAACTTTCTGGGCTTGCAGCGTAATTCTTGCAATCAATTTGTTATTAGCTGTTATCTTATTCCCAAAGAAACAAGAATTATGGGTCCAAAGCTGATGAGCTGGTCACATGGACGACAGGTCATTTCGTATTGCTACTGGTTCTGTGATGTTCTCAACTTTGGAGGATGGAAAGATTGTGAAAGGTCTCGCTGGTGTTCCGGATGAAGGTCCTGTCCTATTGGTTGGTTATCACATGCTCATGGGACTAGAGCTTATTCCCCTTGTTGAAGAAGTTTTAAGGCAGAAGGGTATTATGCTTCGTGGTATGGCCCATCCTCTGCTGTTTGTGGAAAACAAGGAGAATTCTTCTGCTGAGTTTTCTACGTCTGATTGGGTAAAAATATTCGGTGGAGTACCTGTTTCAGCAACCTATCTTTATAAATTGCTTTCAGAAAAATCACACGTTCTACTGTATCCTGGTGGAGCACGTGAGGCTCTCCATTTCAAGGTGCATCAAGTTCCTTCGTTTTATAGGGGTTTCTTTCTTTTTCAACGGGGGTAAAACCAATGCTCTAGTGCATATCTACATTTCAGTGTCATATGCTGGGATCATAGGTTTCTACCAGTATCATGAAGTCAAGGATATGCAGACGTGTTTGCACCAACTTCGTGATTCTTTGTCTTATTGTTCGTGCTTGTCAATATTTTATTTTAAAATCCGTACTTATTTGCTTCCATGGTTGCCAGGGAGAGGAATACAAGTTAATATGGCCTCAGAATCAGGAATTTGTGAGAATGGCGGCACGGTTTGGAGCCACAATTGTTCCATTTGGAGTTGTGGGTGAAGATGATATAGCTGAAGTAAGTTTTCCTTTCCCTCTATACTGTTTCTTTGCTTAGAAGCCCCAACGCCTCATTTTCTTCCGCTAATACACCAAGTAAAGGCTAACTTCTACTTTACTCCCCAACAAAATTTGGAATTGTATTTATTAGTTCAAACTGTTGGGATATCGTGTAATTGTAGATTAAGAAAATAGTCGCTGACTTGCTTATTCCGGCGAAGCTTGAGTTCATGAGTAATTGTACTTGCCCTTTGGTTTGACCGTTGTTGCTCTGGATTAAACAGTTGGTACTTGACTACAACGATCTAATTAAGGTCCCCATCATTAACGATTACATCAGAGATTCTAATCGTGATGCTATTAAGATAAGGTAATTCTTCTTCTTGTTGATATGTTTCTTTTTCACTGATTTTTCCAATTAAATCACATCAGAGGATTCTCGCCGCGGGGAAAAAAAAAAGAGTGAGGACTGTTTAGGCATATGCATAGCATTTTTATTTAAAAAATAATTATTGCAGTGTGGATTCCTTTTCATTTGCTTCAAACTTATCGTTTTCCCCCTAAATTCCAGGGATGAGACGAGTGGGGAGGTAGCAAACCAAAACCTCTTCATTCCAGGGCTGTTACCCAAGATACCCGGTCGGTTTTACTATCTATTCGGGAAGCCCGTGAGAACAAAAGGCATGGAGAAGATGCTAGAAGACAAACACAATGCCAACCAACTGTACCTGCAAATTAAATCTCAAGTTCAGCACAATATAAATTACTTGATCAAGAAGCGTGAGGAGGATCCCTATAGGAATATCGTTGACAGAATAATGTATCGTGCAATTTATTCTTCTGATACTCCAGCATTCAAGCCCTAAAAATGTTCAATAATAGGTATATTTTCGTCATAATTACTTTAGAGGAGATATAGTTTAAGTAGTTGATCAGCAATTTTTAGTATTCTACACTCAAGTCTGATATATTCACTCTTCTTATTCCTATCTCTCTTTGAAACAGCCTTGCATATATTTGTAATTCAACAGTAAATGCTACGCGGTGGTCGGTGGATTACAAAGGAATGTTGAGAAATGAAGAAGTTGCGGGGGAGACGGAGCGCTTCGCGCTGGCAAAATAAATATATGTTACCGGTCCATTTGATATACAGCCAGGTAATATAATTTCTATTTGGGGACATTGAATTAGAGAAATACAATATATTATTTCAAGATTCCTTAAAGGGGGAAGGGAGAAATTTGTAGTGATAGTCAAGGTTGTGATGATATAATACTCCTCCGGTCCTTATTATAAGATTCTATTTGACTTTTTATTTGGTCCTAATTATAAGACCCCAATCCATTTTGTCTCTTATATTTATGCATTTTTTCCCAAGATAATCCTTCTAATAATGATAGTTTTAGCCAATATACTTAATTAGCAAGGATATTTTAGGAATGACAACACTTATTTATTATAAATAACCAACTTAACTTACTTTCTTAATCTCCTCAAATAAATCAATTGGATCTTATAATTAAAACCGGAGGAGTATAATTACTGTTTTTGGGAGTATCGATTCGTGCTGTATTCTCGTAACTACCGATTCATTATCAGTTGATTCTCCAGCCCTGTCGTTTCTTCTAACGACCCGCATTTTTCTGGAAGTTTTTTGGGCCAAAAATGAAGTCAATTTTATTAATCTAAAAAAAAAAAAGAAGTACAAGCACCGACAACCAGACAAAGAAAGACTCGAGGCCCTAGGTTGCGGCCTAAAAAAGAAAATAAACAAAATACAAACACCAATAATACTACTTTCACCGTTAAAAATTAGTTAATTGATTTGAATAGATTAAAAAAATTAGTTAAATTAAGTATTTATAATAAATAGTATTATATTTCTTAAAATATCTTTACTAATCAGGTGTATTGACTAGAACTATTATTATTATAAAAACTATTTTTAAAAAAATAAATAAATATAATAAATAAAATATATTGTTGTTTTATATTTAAAACAAAATAAAATAAAATCAGTTCTTACTTGGGAATCGAGATAGTAAAACTTAATCAGACAAATTAGGTCAGTTTTCGTGGAAATTGATAACGACCTAAATCACGAGTATTCATGTACGTACTAGAGCGATGTTGCTGCTGCCACTACTATTATCGTGTTTTTTTTTTTTTTTTTGGGGGCACCCATTCGGCTTCATGAAGCTCTTGAAGTTGAGGCTAAGAAAACTTCAGTGAAAGCGATCCAAGGCTTGTAGATTACTCAGAAGTCGATCTTTTGTGGGATGTGGCCGACACTATATTACTTCGGAAGAGTTGTTCTCAACCTCTGAAGAACCAGAAGCAATGGAGAAGATAGGCTTGTGTCCACGGAATAAGATTCTGTTTCAATGTGCTATTCTGTCAACCGAGAACAGGTATAGAATCCATATCCAGGATATGTCACAAAAAGGTCGCATATGGTTCTCTGATGCTTGATAAGTTTGAATCTGTCCGCTTTAAGTGCACCGAGGTGGAATGTAAATCCTCATAATCTTTCTTCCATATAGGGAGAAGTTGTAGATTGAAGAGTTGGCAGAATAACAGAGTGACTCTGAACAAGAGGGATGGGTGGATATGGTCACAATTTCCATGGCTATTCCGCCTTCACTACTATGGGGTCAAGGACAGGTGAAATATTTGGACCCGTTCCGCTTTTTCCAAACTCAGTCGTCAGGCCAGAGGACTACTACGACTACTACCCCTACGACGATCATGCTCCCAGAAGGACATCAGTCCCTGTTACTACAAAACCTTATGACGACGACTTCAAACATGGCTTTCCAACGAAGGCTTACCCCGCCGGATATGATGATGAATGGCACAGGCAGATTAATCCGGTTCTTGCTCATAGTCGCCCACGGGGAGGTGACGAGTTGCTTCCAAGAAGGACGGTGGTTCCGGTAGCTACCAGACCTTGCGTTGGCTATGAGTGCCCAAACAGCTCTCCGACAAAGGCGTACCCCGCCGGCGACGATGACGAGGATTATCGCCCACACAGGGATGATGAGTTCCTTACCAAAAGAGCAGGGGTACCGGTACCAGTTGCTTCCAGAACTTCAGGCGTGGATGAGTATGGACATGGGTCTCCCAAGAAGGCTTATCCTGCAAGAGACGACGGCAAACCCCATGAAATGCCTCCCAAACGAACAGTGGTGCCGGTTGCTACCAGAACCAATAGTCGCGAATGCGAACGTAGCTCTCCGAAACATGATATTCATAACAAATGGCACGGCACACAGAAAGCTCCAGCTAGCCAACCAGTCATTTGGACAGAGTGGCGTCGGCCCCAACGTTCAGCTGCATATAGTGGTAACGAGGAAAATAGTACCAACAGGGGTAGCGAGCCGATAATTAGTCAAGATTGGAGTTCATCCCCCCGAAAGGGGACCCAACTCGGTGAGGCCACAGATGATATTGATAAGGTTGCTGAGATGTTCATACAAAAGGCAAGAGTTGCCCGTACTCCAGAAGGAGAATACAAAGCCCCCAGGCCCAGTGCAAAGAACCCTTTTCCAATTCCAAATTATGATTCCCGCGATCGCAGAAACTTGGGTGTGGATCGGCCAACCCCAACTTCCCCAAGTAGTCCTTGCCGTGGCAGTCCCATCGACGCCAGCGGTCGCATCCCAACCATAGACAGCAGGGAAGCTAGGAGGAAATATAACGGCGAGAGGGTCTGAGATGAAGGCGATTCTCTCGTCTTGTGTTTTCTTTTGTTTTTACCAAGTTGATGCTTGTGGTGTGTGGAAGCCTAGGCCGCGTGAAAAGGCATTAAGGTTGGAATAAATTTGTGTAGTTGCTGTGCTTGCTTATTTTCATGCTTCCTTTCCAAATGGAAATCTCTTGACATGTCCTGGAAAGCGAGGTCTGCATAAGCAGGGTCCCGGACCCAGTCCATCAATTATAATATAGACCCACTACCAAGGAAGCGGGTAGGCGAGCGGATTCAAGTGCTTGATCATATATTCACTTTTTTTTTTTTTTTTGGAGACACGGGAAAGTTAAATGGATCATATATTCACTTCACGATACGAAAACTTTAGTGGGAAGCGGGGGGGGGGGGGGATCATTTGGGAAGGAAAAAAATCTCTGCGGATATGTTACTTTCCCTCCTCTCACCAGACTTATCTCACGACTTAAAAAAATAATGGGTTTTATGGCGGATTTTTTTTTAAAAAAGAAAATTCTTTTGTTTTTCAGCCAGTTTAATTCTTATTATTTGCACTGAAAAAGAAGAATCAAATAAACTAAGCCGTAAAACTATTAAATTTAATATTATATAATATTATTTTGTCTATCTATAATTAATGGACTTATAAAATATAATCCATTTCTTTAATCTAAGACTGATGAAATCAAATGAGTATTTGGTTAAAAGCAAAATCATAGTTTTAATAGTATTTTTATAATATACAAAATAAATATATAAAATTTTTTCTTAATTAAAAAAATGCTCTTTAAAAATACTTCTTAAATAATCTAAGCACCTCACAAATCCATAACTTTCGTTTCGTTTGGTTAGAGCTTCACATTAAACTTCCATAGGGTTGAATTATAGCCAGAGTCTACCGAGTCAGCTTTACAAATTTTTAACTTCGCGGTAAATGGTCCGCTTCAGATTTACTTTCATTTATCCTGGCACCAAAGGGCAGCATGCAGAATAGACTATCATTTCAAGTTTTCAGCCACAAAAGAGTGAAAGACAGCTTATTTACAAAATTTGTAATATTTCGCTTCATTCATTAGTAAAGTGAAAAGCAGGGAAAATTTCCGTGTCATGGAATTCCAGTTTCCCATCAACACCCATAGGTTTCCCATCAGGTTTCCGTCACCTTCTCAAAAAAAAGTTCCCCTGATAACCGACGGTTTAAGCTCTTTTGCCCATATCCGGATCCTTCAGCATTAAACTTCGCATAATTCTTTGGAAAGGTGTGATTCGATGTTTGAAACTTCATCACATATTTATCAATATTCATTTTAGTTTGATCAAGGAATTTCCGAGTGAATTCAATATGGTGTCTGGTTGAGGGGATTGTTGGATGGTACTGCCTCCGAATAGGTAGTTTGGGAAATAGCTTTTTGAGGCGGTGAGTTAATTTAAGACAAAGATTTGCAGCTGCAAATAAGCTCTGGTTATTTCTTGAGCTGCTCAGCTATAGCTGCTTCATTTTAGGCGTATCCACAAGTTCCGTGGAACATATATGCGAAAAGTATTTTACACTCCTAGAAGGCGGAAGAATGATTTGCTACTTAATTTACCGCCAGCTTGCAAGTTTTACACTAATTTCTGTTAGTCTGTAGAATTAATTTCTGAGTAGACAGATGCAAACACGTTCACATGCGCACACGCAAACTATTTATGGTGCATTGGTGTTTCGTGGGTGAAGAATATATGTGGTCATTGTGAATTTTGATCTTCTTAATAATGTTGGACAAATTTGGCGAATTTGATAGGCTTCTTATCGCTCTCTCCCATAAATGTCTGAATGAAAATATTTGTAGCTTTTGTATCTTACATAGTTGAAGAGGTTTCTTCTATTCTATGCTTTCTGATTTATTCCTTTAATCCGTATAGAATACAACGAGAAGTAAGCATAGAATGTCAAGCTGATATATTACTTTTCAATTTGGGTGTTGGACTCACTTGTGCGCAGAGATGTATAAGAACCAGTTGCAAGAGTTGGCTCAAAGAAGTTGTTTCAATTTGCCAGCCTATTCATGCATACGCGAAGGACCAGATCATGCTCCTCGATTCAAAGCAACGGTAAACCTCAATGGAGAAACATTTGACAGCCCAACGTTTTGCTCTACTCTTAGACAGGCTGAACATGCAGCAGCTGAGGTAGCTCTAAGCACCCTTGTTAAAAGAGGTCCTTCTACGTCTTTGGCAGCAAAAGTTCTGGTGAGCAAATGGCAAAACCTTTATCTCTCTTTTCCCTTCCCTTCCTATATTTCACTTATAGTTCTCTCTTCTTTGACACACCCAACTACTTGATTTGCATGCCAAGTACAAGCAAGTCTTTTGGACACTAGAATATCAGGGTTAGGTATACATCAGCCTAGAGAGCTCTGCTCAGTTTTCTGCATGTTGTTTTGTAGAATATTTGGGTTTGAATATTCTGTGTGTATATTTCGTATAGTTCAGGAAAAATATATAGAGTACAGCAGAATCTTCAACCATAAATAGTTGAGATTTGAGAGATAGAATCCCATGATACCCTTCTATTAATATCCCGTAATCTGCTCCCTAAATCATCCTAGAATATTTACATTAAATAAAAGATATTTACATGATTATTCTATTTTCATAATTACCACACTCCCCCTCAAGTTGGATCATAGATGTTGATCATGTTCAACTTGCCTACAAAATGTTCGAACACTTCTTCTGGTAATCCCTTGGTAAGGATATCGGCCAGTTGTGACTTGGTAGGGACATAAGATAGGTCAATGATTCCATCCTCAATTTTTTTCTCTAATAAAGTGACGGTCCACTTCAACGTGTTTGGTCCTGCTATGTTGCACAGGATTTATGGCCATACTCAAGGCTGCCTTATTATCACAGTAGAGCTTTAAGGGAGACTCAATCTGAACGTGTGCTTCTTCTGCCACTCTTTTCAGCCATAGCCCCTCCATAATGCCTTGAGCTAGAGCTCTTAGTTCAGATTCTGCACTGCTCTTCGCTACAACTCTCTGTTTCTGACTTTGCCAGGTCACCAAATTGCCCCATACAAAGGTACAATAACCTGATGTAGACCTGCTATCCTCCTGGGCACTAGCCCAGTCAGCATCGGTATAGATTTCAACACTTCTGACATCGTTCTTTTTGAAGAACAGCCCCCTACCTGGTGTTCCTTTGAAGTACCTTAGGATTTTATAGGCTGCATCCAAATGTTTTTTCTTGGGAGCATGCATATGTTGGCTGGCTACACTCACTGCAAAGGCGATATCTGGCCTAGTGTGAGAAAGATATATGAGTTTACCAACTAGTCTTTGATATCGACCTTTGTCTGTAGTTGCCTCATCTTTTTCTTGTTTCAATCTTCGTGCTGCCTCTTTTTTTGTCTTTGCTGCTTTCTTATCTTTTCTGCATTTCTTCTTGGTACTCATAGGTACCTTACTAGGCTTGCACCCAAGCATTCCAGTTTCCTTAAGTAGATCAAGTATATACTTTCTTTGAGAGACATAGATTCCTTTTTGAGACCTTGCTATTTCCATACCAAGGAAATATTTCAGCTTCCCAAGGTCTTTTACTTTAAACTGCTTGTTAAGCCCCACTTTAATTCTCTCTATTTCCTTGACATTGTTTCCGGTGAGAATAATGTCATCTACATATACGATGAGGATGGTTATCAAGTCACCATCTCTTGATACAAACATAGTGTGATCTGATAAGCTTTGTTTGTAGCCTTCCGCCTTGAGGACTGTAGAGAACCTGTCAAACCAGGCACGTGGTGATTGCTTTAGACCATAGATAGATTTTTTCAGTTTACATACCTGGCCCTTTTTTCCTTTATCAAATCCAGGTGGAAGACTCATGTAGACTTCTTCTCTTAATTCACCATTTAAGAATGCATTTTCTATGTCAAGTCGTTGAAGAGGCCAGTCCAGATTTGCAGCAATTGAGAGAAGAACCTGGATGGTATTTAGCTTAGCAACTGGGGCAAATGTCTCATTGTAGTCTATTCCATAGGTTTGGGCAAATCCTTTTGCAACTAGTCTCGCTTTGTACTTGTTTAGGGAACCATCAGCATTAAATTTTGGTGTGAACACCCATTTACAACCCATAGGTGTTATTCCCACTGGTAGTTCAGTGATCTCCCATGTCCCATTCTTTTCTAATGCTCTTATTTCTTCCATTATTGCATTTTTCCATTCTGGACTTTCAAGAGCTTCATACACATTATTAGGGACTTGTATTTGATCAAGGCTAGTAACAAAGCTGTAATGATTCTCAGAGAGGGTAGAATAAGATACATACTTTTGAATGGGATGCTTGGTGCATGTTCGAGGTTTCTTCCTTAGTGAAATAGGAAGTTCTAACTCCTTTGTCTCTGCTGCCCGAGTATGTTCATCATCATTTCTCATAGGATCCATCATTGGTTCTGAGAATGGTACAGCCTTAGGTATGCTGGACCCTACTACCTGTTTGTTTCTACATGAGTAAATATTATCAAATTTTTGATCCCGGACTTCTACTCTTGGCACAGTGTTGGATGGGTCCTTAGGAAGCTGAATAGGATCAGGAGGGGGTATGGGTTCAGGTATACACTCAAGCTGAAATTCACTCCATTTCTCCCCCTGAATTGAAGGCTTGGTGAAGTAGGGCTCTTGTTCCACAAAGGTAACATCACGGCTAACAAAGAGATGCTTAGTGATAGGGTCATAGCACCTGTAACCTTTTTGAGAATTAAAGTATCCTAGGAAGACACATTTGACAAGCCTGGGGTCAAATTTGGATGGTGGGTGATGTTGATGAACAAAAACCGAGCAACCAAAGACAAGAGGTGGTAAGGTGAAGTCAAGGTGAGTGACAGTATGAGTTTCACGAAGTTTATCCAGAGGTGAAACATAGGACAAGACCCGGTTAGGGAGACGGTTAATTAGGTGAGTAGCAGTGAGTATTGCATCCCCCTAGTAAAAATGTGGAGTATTACAAGTGTATAAAAGTGCACGAGCAACTTCAAGAAGATGTTTGTTTTTTCGTTCTGCAATGCCATTTTGTTGCGGGCTATGAGGACAACTACTTTTGTGCACAATACCATTGGCTTTAAGAAAACTGTCAAGAGTTTGGTTAAAATATTTTGTCCCATTATCAGTGTAAAGGACTTGCAATGTGGTATTAAATTGAGTCTTGACATAGTTAAAAAACTCAATAAAGACTGAGGAGACAGCAGATTTTTCTTTTAACAAGTAAACCCAGCACATGCGTGTGTGGTCATCAATAAAC